TACATTTCGGACTCCTTCCTCTTCCGGTTCCCAAATTTGGTCCATTTGATGTTCCTCCCTTGGATTGAGACCGTTTCACTCATGTTTGTCCTCATAGTCATGTGTAGAACCTATTAATCCATGTTTGGGTAAGTATGGGTCCATCTAGTTCATCTTATACACTACAAGTGAGTTTCCACAATGTGGAGTCACAGAGGTACATTTCGGACTCCTTACCTCTTCCGGTTCCCAAATTTGGTCCATTTGATGTTCCTCCCTTGGATTGAGACCGTTTCACTCATGTTTGTCCTCATAGTCATGTGGAGAACCTATTAATCCATGTTTGGGTAAGTATGGGTCCATCTAGTTCATCTTATACACTACAAGTGAGTTTCCACAATGTGGAGTCACAGAGGTACATTTCGGACTCCTTACCTCTTCCGGTTCCCAAATTAGGTCCATTTGATGTTCCTCCCTTGGATTGAGACCGTTTCACTCATGTTTGTCCTCATAGTCATGTGTAGAACCTATTAATCCATGTTTGGGTAAGTATGGGTCCATCTAGTTCATCTTATACACTACAAGTGAGTTTCCACAATGTGGAGTCACAGAGGTACATTTCGGACTCCTTACCTCTTCCGGTTCCCAAATTAGGTCCATTTGATGTTCCTCCCTTGGATTGAGACCGTTTCACTCATGTTTGTCCTCATAGTCATGTGTAGAACCTATTAATCCATGTTTGGGTAAGTATGGGTCCATCTAGTTCATCTTATACACTACAAGTGAGTTTCCACAATGTGGAGTCACAGAGGTACATTTCGGACTCCTTACCTCTTCCGGTTCCCAAATTAGGTCCATTTGATGTTCCTCCCTTGGATTGAGACCGTTTCACTCATAGTTTGTCCTCCATCTAGTTCATCTTATACACTACAAGTGAGTTTCCACAATGTGGAGTCACAGAGGTACATTTCGGACTCCTTACCTCTTCCGGTTCCCAAATTAGGTCCATTTGATGTTCCTCCCTTGGATTGAGACCGTTTCACTCATGTTTGTCCTCATAGTCATGTGTAGAACCTATTAATCCATGTTTGGGTAAGTATGGGTCCATCTAGTTCATCTTATACACTACAAGTGAGTTTCCACAATGTGGAGTCACAGAGGTACATTTCGGACTCCTTACCTCTTCCGGTTCCCAAATTAGGTCCATTTGATGTTCCTCCCTTGGATTGAGACCGTTTCACTCATGTTTGTCCTCATAGTCATGTGTAGAACCTATTAATCCATGTTTGGGTAAGTATGGGTCCATCTAGTTCATCTTATACACTACAAGTGAGTTTCCACAATGTGGAGTCACAGAGGTACATTTCGGACTCCTTACCTCTTCCGGTTCCCAAATTAGGTCCATTTGATGTTCCTCCCTTGGATTGAGACCGTTTCACTCATGTTTGTCCTCATAGTCATGTGTAGAACCTATTAATCCATGTTTGGGTAAGTATGGGTCCATCTAGTTCATCTTATACACTACAAGTGAGTTTCCACAATGTGGAGTCACAGAGGTACATTTCGGACTCCTTACCTCTTCCGGTTCCCAAATTAGGTCCATTTGATGTTCCTCCCTTGGATTGAGACCGTTTCACTCATGTTTGTCCTCATAGTCATGTGTAGAACCTATTAATCCATGTTTGGGTAAGTATGGGTCCATCTAGTTCATCTTATACACTACAAGTGAGTTTCCACAATGTGGAGTCACAGAGGTACATTTCGGACTCCTTACCTCTTCCGGTTCCCAAATTAGGTCCATTTGATGTTCCTCCCTTGGATTGAGACCGTTTCACTCATGTTTGTCCTCATAGTCATGTGTAGAACCTATTAATCCATGTTTGGGTAAGTATGGGTCCATCTAGTTCATCTTATACACTACAAGTGAGTTTCCACAATGTGGAGTCACAGAGGTACATTTCGGACTCCTTACCTCTTCCGGTTCCCAAATTAGGTCCATTTGATGTTCCTCCCTTGGATTGAGACCGTTTCACTCATGTTTGTCCTCATAGTCATGTGTAGAACCTATTAATCCATGTTTGGGTAAGTATGGGTCCATCTAGTTCATCTTATACACTACAAGTGAGTTTCCACAATGTGGAGTCACAGAGGTACATTTCGGACTCCTTACCTCTTCCGGTTCCCAAATTAGGTCCATTTGATGTTCCTCCCTTGGATTGAGACCGTTTCACTCATGTTTGTCCTCATAGTCATGTGTAGAACCTATTAATCCATGTTTGGGTAAGTATGGGTCCATCTAGTTCATCTTATACACTACAAGTGAGTTTCCACAATGTGGAGTCACAGAGGTACATTTCGGACTCCTTACCTCTTCCGGTTCCCAAATTAGGTCCATTTGATGTTCCTCCCTTGGATTGAGACCGTTTCACTCATGTTTGTCCTCATAGTCATGTGTAGAACCTATTAATCCATGTTTGGGTAAGTATGGGTCCATCTAGTTCATCTTATACACTACAAGTGAGTTTCCACAATGTGGAGTCACAGAGGTACATTTCGGACTCCTTACCTCTTCCGGTTCCCAAATTAGGTCCATTTGATGTTCCTCCCTTGGATTGAGACCGTTTCACTCATGTTTGTCCTCATAGTCATGTGTAGAACCTATTAATCCATGTTTGGGTAAGTATGGGTCCATCTAGTTCATCTTATACACTACAAGTGAGTTTCCACAATGTGGAGTCACAGAGGTACATTTCGGACTCCTTACCTCTTCCGGTTCCCAAATTAGGTCCATTTGATGTTCCTCCCTTGGATTGAGACCGTTTCACTCATGTTTGTCCTCATAGTCATGTGTAGAACCTATTAATCCATGTTTGGGTAAGTATGGGTCCATCTAGTTCATCTTATACACTACAAGTGAGTTTCCACAATGTGGAGTCACAGAGGTACATTTCGGACTCCTTACCTCTTCCGGTTCCCAAATTAGGTCCATTTGATGTTCCTCCCTTGGATTGAGACCGTTTCACTCATGTTTGTCCTCATAGTCATGTGTAGAACCTATTAATCCATGTTTGGGTAAGTATGGGTCCATCTAGTTCATCTTATACACTACAAGTGAGTTTCCACAATGTGGAGTCACAGAGGTACATTTCGGACTCCTTACCTCTTCCGGTTCCCAAATTAGGTCCATTTGATGTTCCTCCCTTGGATTGAGACCGTTTCACTCATGTTTGTCCTCATAGTCATGTGTAGAACCTATTAATCCATGTTTGGGTAAGTATGGGTCCATCTAGTTCATCTTATACACTACAAGTGAGTTTCCACAATGTGGAGTCACAGAGGTACATTTCGGACTCCTTACCTCTTCCGGTTCCCAAATTAGGTCCATTTGATGTTCCTCCCTTGGATTGAGACCGTTTCACTCATGTTTGTCCTCATAGTCATGTGTAGAACCTATTAATCCATGTTTGGGTAAGTATGGGTCCATCTAGTTCATCTTATACACTACAAGTGAGTTTCCACAATGTGGAGTCACAGAGGTACATTTCGGACTCCTTACCTCTTCCGGTTCCCAAATTAGGTCCATTTGATGTTCCTCCCTTGGATTGAGACCGTTTCACTCATGTTTGTCCTCATAGTCATGTGTAGAACCTATTAATCCATGTTTGGGTAAGTATGGGTCCATCTAGTTCATCTTATACACTACAAGTGAGTTTCCACAATGTGGAGTCACAGAGGTACATTTCGGACTCCTTACCTCTTCCGGTTCCCAAATTAGGTCCATTTGATGTTCCTCCCTTGGATTGAGACCGTTTCACTCATGTTTGTCCTCATAGTCATGTGTAGAACCTATTAATCCATGTTTGGGTAAGTATGGGTCCATCTAGTTCATCTTATACACTACAAGTGAGTTTCCACAATGTGGAGTCACAGAGGTACATTTCGGACTCCTTACCTCTTCCGGTTCCCAAATTAGGTCCATTTGATGTTCCTCCCTTGGATTGAGACCGTTTCACTCATGTTTGTCCTCATAGTCATGTGTAGAACCTATTAATCCATGTTTGGGTAAGTATGGGTCCATCTAGTTCATCTTATACACTACAAGTGAGTTTCCACAATGTGGAGTCACAGAGGTACATTTCGGACTCCTTACCTCTTCCGGTTCCCAAATTAGGTCCATTTGATGTTCCTCCCTTGGATTGAGACCGTTTCACTCATGTTTGTCCTCATAGTCATGTGTAGAACCTATTAATCCATGTTTGGGTAAGTATGGGTCCATCTAGTTCATCTTATACACTACAAGTGAGTTTCCACAATGTGGAGTCACAGAGGTACATTTCGGACTCCTTACCTCTTCCGGTTCCCAAATTAGGTCCATTTGATGTTCCTCCCTTGGATTGAGACCGTTTCACTCATGTTTGTCCTCATAGTCATGTGTAGAACCTATTAATCCATGTTTGGGTAAGTATGGGTCCATCTAGTTCATCTTATACACTACAAGTGAGTTTCCACAATGTGGAGTCACAGAGGTACATTTCGGACTCCTTACCTCTTCCGGTTCCCAAATTAGGTCCATTTGATGTTCCTCCCTTGGATTGAGACCGTTTCACTCATGTTTGTCCTCATAGTCATGTGTAGAACCTATTAATCCATGTTTGGGTAAGTATGGGTCCATCTAGTTCATCTTATACACTACAAGTGAGTTTCCACAATGTGGACATGTTTCTGGCTGTAGGATGTTGACGGTAGAGCCGCAGATGTTGCTCTGGGATGGTCAGTAGCACTTGGTTCTCCTTTTACTTTTGCTACTACTCTTGAGCAAGAGTACAAGAGTGACATCTTTGGAGAAAGAGGTTAGTCTATAGACTTGTCTTGTCCATGCCTGATTCGACACCTTATGACCTATCTCTTCTTCTTCCTTCCGTTAATAGGTATTTTGCTTGGTGCCGTTCACGGAATTGTGGAGTCTCTGTTCAGAAGGTACACCGAAAATGGGATGAGTGAAGACCTTGCTTACAAGAACACAGTAGAGTGTATCACAGGAAACATTTCAAGAACTATCTCTACCCAGGTTAGTGATTAGATATCTGTTGAGACCAGAGTTATTCGTTTTTTGGCCAAATCGGAAATCGTAACCTCCTGTTTCTGATGAATTTTGAAACTCAGGGAATGTTGGCTGTGTACAACTCCTTGTCTGAAGAAGGTAAAAAGGAATTCGAGACTGCATACAGTGCATCCTTCTATCCTTGTATGGAGATCCTCTATGAATGTTACGAGGATGTAGCAGCTGGCAGCGAAATCCGGAGTGTTGTCTTAGCCGGTCGTCGTTTCTATGTAATGACTCCTCTCTCAAATTCTTATCTTTCTTTGCATTTACCCGAAACAACATAGTTTTGTTGTGCAAGCATTTTGATTGATTTTCTTGCTTGTAACAGGATAAGGAAGGTTTGCCTTCATTCCCAATGGGAAAGATTGATCAGACAAGGATGTGGAAGGTTGGTGAACGCGTCAGGAAGACAAGACCAGCTGGTGACTTGGGTCCCTTGTACCCCTTCACCGCTGGAGTCTACGTTGCACTTATGATGGCTCAGGTGCGTCTTTAAGTTGAGATCATGTGGTTTACTCTTGGTTTCTTGGATCCTAATTCTTGGTTTCTGTGGGGTTATGTAGATCGAGATCTTGAGGAAGAAGGGTCACTCTTACTCGGAGATCATCAACGAGAGCGTGATTGAATCTGTGGACTCCCTAAACCCGTTCATGCACGCTAGAGGTGTGTCCTTCATGGTGGACAACTGCTCGACCACAGCAAGATTGGGATCAAGGAAATGGGCACCGCGGTTCGACTACAACCTGACCCAACAAGCTCTGGTGGCTGTGGACAACGGTGCAGCAATCAACAGAGACCTGATCAGCAACTTCTTCTCTGACCCTGTCCATGGTGCTATCGAGGTCTGCGCACAGCTCAGGCCTACCGTCGATATCTCTGTGCCTGAGGACGCAGACTTTGTCCGACCAGAGCTGCGCCAGTCTAGCAACTGAGTGAAGGGTTGAAACTCTTACGAGTGTTTTATTGTAATCTCATTTTACGTAAGAGCGAGAGTTTGTCATGTTTTTTTTTTTTTTTTAAGTTGTGAGCGAGTGAGGATTTGAATAATTATCTCTTTGGAACTGCAATAAAAATGGGATGCTTTCTCTAGTTTTATACTTTTATCTTACAAAGCGAAATTATAATTACTACTTAGGGTTTTATTGTTGAAACATTCGCAAAAAATAACAAATTATGCTTGCGTATTCTAATCCATCTCCAGTACGACTCAAATTAGTTTATGCTATTACTCGTTCAACATTTGCATGATAGTTTGGTGATTTTTAATATACAGCTGAGGGTTTAAATTCAGAATACTTTAGTTTCTTTTGAGCTTTATGCATTTGAGCTTCACAGGCTGAAGCGAAACTATAAATACTATTTGGTTTTATTCTTGAAACATTCTCAAAATAACCAATTATTATTGGGTATGATATTGGTTGCTCATTGGTGTCCCTTTAGTGAACAATATACTCATAGTGTACCGTACCCAGTGGTAACACTAGAGACAATGGAGCAGATCATATATGTCTCTATATGAAACTAAACAACCCAAATGGCTTACAACAAAGCTCAGAGATTCACGCCATAATCAGATTCTTCTTGCAGATGAATACCATAAACAAGTATTTGGTGGTGGAGGGAGCAAAGCTCACAGTTTTTTTTTTTCCATTTTACTTGGATTGATTCATGGTGAAATGTGCATGTGCGGAAACGGCAGTGCAGACATTCGATACAACTAAAACAGAATGGAGAATTGGTAAATTGATGCCGCTATCCACATTTTTGAAAGGCTATCATGTGGGAGACAAGTGCAAATTTAGAGCTGAGGGTAATTTGTTGAACCTCTCCTTTTTTGACAATGATGAAAAGTATACTTTTACATCGAATATCTCTGAGCCGCAAGCATGTGTTCTTCTCTACTTTCAATGAGCAACAAATCATTTATGAATGGTTTGAGAGCAAGTTTTTTACTAAGAGTTTTTGTAGGCAAATTTCAGTGGCGCTGATAGGATACTACTTGTCCATACACTTGCTTGTATGTGACAGACTGCCTCTACAATTCTACCAAGGGTTTCATAGTCAGTGATAGTATCACGATTGAAACCCAATTCCAGCTCGTTTCAAAATCCCATTGATTATAAGTTGCTTCTTAAGTCTTAAAGATTGCGACTTGTCCATGCTTGCAAGTTGCTTGTAATCTTCTATTTCTGTCTTGTTCTTGTTCAATCTGAGCTGAATATTTTCGTGATTTATTTGGGATGTGATTCTATCGTCAGAGTTTTGGAGATACGACTCAAATTAGTATTTGCTATACAACATTGAATGAATTTTTGAGTAAAGAATACTTTAATTTCTGTACAAATCAAAATCCATACCAGTTTTATGGTTTTGGGCTTCTTCTATCTATTGTTTACAGATAATTTCTGGTTTCGATAAAAAAAAAAAGATTTGAGTAAAGTAACTTGGTTGAAACTGTATTTGCAAGTTGAATGATTAAATTTATGATAGAAGGATTTGTCCAAAACAAGAAAGGATAAAGTGATAAGTTTTTGCAAATGCCAGATAGATATTACTACTCATTGGGTCATTTATATGTATATACTATGTAGTCACTGGTCTCCAAGTTCGAATATATATAAAAATTGTTACAAGGAATCATAATTTGTGTTATTTTTTTCTTTTCAAAATTATGATAAAGAGAAACTTGGCAGAGCACAATGCTTTTGTCTCTCTTTTTACTGTGAAATGAAGAATCTAAATTATTAGTATCACATGTAATGACATGTGCTCGCCCTCCCTCTGCACATTTACATTATATGTCAAGTCTTTTTCTCTTCCCCCTCCATTTTTAAAAGAGATATAAATCCACGAAGCTTGAAGGAAAAAAATGAAAAGAGAGAAAAAAGAAATGGTACAGAACAAAGAAATAAATAAATATAAATTCTGCAATCATATGTTAGTGTGGCTCAAGAATTAGAGAAAGACAAGACCAACATGTGTAGCCAATCATATTGTATAACTCTTTTCCCACATTTCATGTTCATTTATCCAAAAAACACTAAAAACAAATTAACTTTTCTCTTTTTCTCTTTTCTCATCTCACTTCAAACTTGCTTTCCAGAATTCTCAATGATCAATTGATAACGATTCATGTTTTCGATTAACCAAAACAAGGTTTGTGGTTGAATGTTAAGAGTACCAAACTAAACAGTAGTAGTTTAATAGTTTTGTGATGTTGATGCAAATCGAAAATCAATTTTTATTCGTTTATATACACCGACGTAGTCTGCATAATTCAAGAGGTAATTACGGAATCTGTTAAAAAATAAATTTTCTAAATGAGTAATGATAAGTAAGTAACATAGAATAATAATATGTTGTAAACATCAAAGAAGTGCATTATTAGTAAGAATTATGAACAATCTAGTTATTTTTAGAAGAAACAAAAAAATGAAGGGAGAATACCCTTTCGATTTGTTTATTTTAGATTTGCTATAAAGACAAAATCTTGGTGTTTAAAGTCAAGAATCATAGATGATCTTGATTTGACACCAATGTTTTGTAATTAATTCTGTTAATAGTAATACCAATTCACATAGATGACTAATCATTTTCAGCATATAGACAAATATGTTTAACACAAATTTTATCGATAAAATACATAACAGAAGAAAACAACAACGTCAGACATTTCTTAATATTTAAGATTCTCGAATTTCTTTTATTAATCTCTAAAAATATTTGCTATGTACATGTTATTGTTAATTAAAAGTTTTGATTCTTCGGTCCATGACTGTTTCCAGATCCGTGATCACGTACTCTTTTGTAATATATGCAGTTGTTATGCAATGAGTAAATCTTCATCTTTCACCTGATTTGAATTTATGTACAGAAACGTTGATGCAACACACACATAGTATATTTTTTATTCGTATAAAAGCATTATATAATCATAAACTAACTTAAATTGAGTTACTGTATATCAAATAAGTTTCCCAACTCTTCTAATTAAATAAAAGATTTAAAAAAATCTTCTAAATTCGATACGTCGGCACGTGAAATGTTAATTAAACAGCACATACAATATCGTGCATAGTAGACGAAAAGCTCTTCAACTTTTTCTTCGTTCATGATTATATAAGAAACCAAAAGAAGAGCCATTTGAATAAACTCCTTAACTAATATGTTTACTGATGATGATAAAGGAGAGAACTCACAGCTCGTGAGAGCATATGCTCACATGCTCGAGCTTATATAACCTCAGCCCTCAGGTGCAACCAATAAGGATCATTGCAATAATTTTGTTAGCTTGATCTACTAATTCAATTATATAATTTTGGATTTTTTGAATCCTATAAATAAACCTTATTGTCATCTTATTTTTCTCATTTTCTTAATTTATAGGTATAGACGTATAGTCACAAATATAAACTATCTAAGTTTTCATCTAAAATAAAAACTTCGATTATGAATCACATGATTTATTTATAGCCTTAACACTTACCAGAAAAAGGACATGAGTACTACTATTTGTTGAAAACATATATGCAACTCCAAAATATGTATTTTGTTTTCGCATACTTGTACTGTGCATCAAAAAGTAAAATGTATGAGAATCAGATAATATAGATAATTAATTGTGCCTAGCAGTCTCGGTTAAACGTGTAACATTTTCCTTATTATAAAAATGCGAGTTGGACGGTAATGCGATCTACATATATTCTTGCTTACTGTATTTTCACTGACAATATTTTGTGATCAAACATTGGATACCTTTCTCAAGCGTTGTTTATCGCTAATTACATTATTAATCAAATAATTAGAAAACCAGATAATACCCATACATGGTTTGTTTGTCGTTGTATATACTATCAGGAATCATTGTATTTCTTTACTCTATTAATTACATTTACATATACTGCTAAATCAAATCAGAATATACTAATATTATATGTTAACATACTTATAATTGCTAGAACTACATGTTTTTCCTATTATATTTAGGAGTCTAGATCGTTGTTAAGTCTGGTTAGTTCTGTAAGCAAGTAGATCTTTCAATGAAAAAAAAAAAAATCTCCAACTCGACGTTGATAAATTATTAGAACGAGATATTAATCAGTTTACCTTTTTTTTGTTATTTTTTTGGGATGCTTATATATGTGGGTCCATGTTCCTCCCACACACCATCAACAATTATCAAGGCTCATGCCTTGAGAAATTACGAGCATCATTTTAATTAATTTTCTCAAAAAGTTAATTATGTATGAAGTATGTTCCCCAACGGGAGGAAAAGGAGATTTCTCTCTTGTTCTTGTTTCTTCTTCGTATTTCTTTCGTTTCCCTTAACTTATTTTGTTAATCTAAATCTTTGTTAATTAACGAGTATGATGCCCCGATCGACAATTATTTTGATGACAGTACAATCTAAGAAGATGTAAAGCACCATAATTACCAGCCAATCATAATTACGTAGTTTAGTTTCTAAATGATACTTGAGAGGTTTAAGCTTCATAATGCATTATCTTAAGTCCAAAATCATCCTTATGTTGCAGATTCATGATTTTGTCAATAATTGAGTTAATTCATTATTATTAGTGAGTGAAAGGTGCCTCTCGGTCAATAATCATTTGTAGTTGGGGACCAAATTTTTTTTCTTTCTCAAGTCATGAATATGTACTTGATGTTCCTACTTATTATATATACTTGCTATATTTGGTCAAGGTTGAAAAAAAACCGGTTTGGTATATCCAAAATTTGGAGCCACACATGTCACGGACCGTCCGGTATGGGGAAATGTCAAATGGCCCATATCGGTTTGGCGGGAGTTGGGGACCGCTTTCCGATTATTCCGTCCGGTTTGGCGGAAAATACTCCGTTAATGTTATATTAGACGGCGTTAATGTATTAGGCGTGCTTAGCTGGCAACTGTAGCGAAGAGGTTAAGAAACAGCTGGCATGGTCACTCTGCACGTGGCCAGCATCTTAGTATATTTCCTATTTTGCCCCTATTAGCGACTTCATAATATTTCTGTTTTCTTCGTATTATTCAGCTAACATAAACCGTAAAATATATTCGAATCACCGATTAAAGCTTTTTCGAAGGAACCCTTTAAAAAATGTCAGATATTGCATCAGTTAATGAGCCTTCACTTCACTTTTGCTTTACTTTCCTTAATTTTTCTGCTTTTGTTGTCTGTTCATTTGCTCTCTTCTACGTAACAAATATGCTTCCTCTTTTGTCATTTTCGTGTGCATATATAAAAGAATCTAATTTCCACTTACTGTTTTTTCACAGTGAAAATCACTGTTTATGATACTATTATTAGGTTACAAAAGTACTTTGTTTACATTAAATTATTCATATTATGCTAAAATTTCGTTATCTTTATCAAAATTTTGGAGCTAATTTGCCAATCACATTTTTCACAAATGTCTATAGTTTAGCTTCAAGCTTGCTGTTTCCGACTCTGATACGAGAGGGTACAAAATCCGAGGTGGCCTTTTCAATTCCAGCTGCTCAATTTTCTTTTTATTTACACTCTTCACACAATTTAGATTAATTTAATTTTAATTTGTTATAACTCGACGACAAAAAAAAATTGACTATTACTCGGCGACAAAAAATGAAAATGTACGAACTACGAAGTAGTCACCTCATCTAATGACAGCGAGAGCTATTAATATAGTACTTATTATACTATTAATAATTTGATATGATCATATCGAATTTCAAAGAAACAATACTAATCGAATCAATGAAATCACAATCAAAATAGATTTACTTTGCGCTTAAGTTATACTATATGACACATATTCAACTACCAGTCTACTATAGTGAAGCTTAAGTTTTAGACTTTTAGTCCAAATCATATAAATTGGAAATTGTTAGACTGTATAGTTGCAGTTTGGCCAACGTAATTTTAGGTGTGGTTGCAGTGTTGCACTTTGAAAATTGCAAGGTGGATTTAATGTTATGACTATTGTCCCAGTGTATACATCTAAATTCTCGAAGCAGTCTATGAAAAATGTATATGGTAAAAATAATTGTTCTTCTGCTGGAGTAACAATTTACATAGCTAGTTTTAGAGTTTACTACGTTTGGATGGGATAAAAACGGATGCATCTTTTATTGTTTTAACCTAAATCTAAGTTTTAACAGACAATAAATTGCGGAAGATCTGGTATTGCGAGTAGGTACAAATTTCATTTTTTTTTTTGGTTTTTTTTGGTGGTCGGCAATACAATTTTCATATATATTCTGTTCAAACATAAGTGCTATTCAAAGTCAACCCTATAGTACATAATATCTAAAACTAGATTTAAATCCCACAAATTACCGTATTTTAGTTACAAGCAGCCGTGAAAGACACGGAAGTCAGGTTGGATTAGAGAGACTCGTGTGATGAACAACAGAAGAAGAAGATCAATGTCTTAGTCTGAGATTTGTTTTTGAAAAAAATAAATAAACAGAATCAGTCGTTACAGTTAATAAATAAGAATTTAACATAATCTAATAATTGTTTGTATTTCACCATATTCATCCATTCTTTTGCTTCCTCTCTTTCTCTATATATCATCACAAGATCTTTTCTCTCTTCTCTCTCTAAGTCACGAACTGTGCTTCTTCTTCTTCTTCTTCTTCTTCTTCATTCTTCTGTGTTTCATCTGAGGCGATTTAGATTTTGGTCTGAAGATGTCACATTGTAGACGACACTCTCTAGAACCTTCCATTGACTCCATTACCGGTAAATTCCGTGATTCTTTGAATTTCCACCGAGACGATGACGTCATCAACAAACCCGATTTCCGAGAGCTCGATTTAGGCTCGCCGATTTCTCCGCTGAGGCCACGTGGCTCCTCCTCTTCCTCCGCCGCCGCGACTCCCGCCGCTAGTGGCAGCAGCTCAAGCTCCTCCGGCTCTGCTTCCGGAAAACCTGCCGTCACTTCCCAGCTACCTAGACGGAGTCACTCCGGCGAGCTGTCCGCCACCAGTCCGGTAACAACCGGATCCGTAACCGCGAACCGGAATCCAAAACCCGGTCACAGAAGATCAGCTTCCGCCGGAACGCCGTTGATTTACTCCGGTTTGGGGTTCTCTCACAATTCTCGCGGCGCGACATCGCCGAATCCCGGCGTTTTACCCACCGGAAACATTTGCCCGTCGGGAAGGATTCTGAAAACCGGAATGGCCACGCAAGCCTCGGTTAAAACAGAGACGCTATGCGCAGGCACGTCCAATTACGGCCGTGGTAACATCATTCGCAGCGGCAAGACAACGAATAATCAGACGACGAGAGCGGTGGCGGAAATCGGCGACCCAGAGGAAGCGAAGAAGGCAGGTAACGAAATGTACAGGAAATCGAACTTCGCAGAGGCGTTAGCGCTTTACGACAGAGCAATCTCACTCTCGCCGGAAAATCCAGCTTACAGAAGCAATCGCGCATCGGCGTTGGCTGCGTCGGGACGGTTAGAGGAAGCGGTTAAAGAATTCCTCGAAGCTGTGAGATTCGATCCTTCTTACGCTAGAGCTCACCGGAAACTTGCTTCTCTGTATCTCAGGTACCAATCTTAATCAAATTCCTCTGTTTTCCATCGGTAATGATTTAGAAAAAGGAGTGATTTTTATTGTTGGTTTAGATTGGGAGAAGCCGAGAATGCGAGACGCCATCTTTGTAATTCCGGTCAACGTCCCGATCAAGCCGATTTGCAGCGGCTGCAAACGCTTGAGAAGCATCTCAGGCATTGTTCAGAGGCTCGAAAGATCGGTGACTGGAAATCTGTAATCAGCGAAGTCGATGCAGCGATTGCAAACGGAGCTGACTCTTCTCCTCAGGTTAGAGATCAAAAACCGGCATTGCTCTCTTTTGTGTTTTCCGTTATCAGTGAAAGAGAGAGACTTGATGATGTTTTAAACGATGTTGCAGCTTGTAGCTTGTAAAGGAGAAGCCTTTTTGCGGCTTCATGAGATAAAGGAATCGGATTTGTGTCTATCCAGCATTCAGAGATCGGATCATAATCATACTCAACCACAAGCTAAGCTCTTTGGTATGATATGTGATGCTTATGTGCTCTGTGTGCAAGCTCAAGTTGATATGGCGTTAGGAAGGTGAGCTTAGACTCGAAAGTGTTTTTTTATTTCTTTATGAGTTTAGTGTTTGTTTTGGTTTCTTGGGTGAGTGAGTTAGAGATGATAGGTTTGTTGCAGATTTGAGAGTGCGGTTGTAAAGGCAGAGAGAGCTATGAAGATTGATCGTGGCGATAACCCTGAGGTGGTGTCGGTCTTGAACAGTGTGAAGAATGTGGCGAAAGCTCGTACCCGTGGCAACGAGCTTTTTAGCTCCGAGAGGTACTCGGAAGCGAGTGTGGCGTATGGAGACGGACTAAAGTTCGATGCTTTTAACTCGGTTCTGTATTGCAATAGAGCGGCGTGTTGGTTTAAACTTGGAATGTGGGAGCAATCTGTTGATGATTGTAATCAGGCGCTAAGAATCCAGCCTAGTTACACCAAGGCTCTTTTAAGAAGAGCTGCTTCATATGGCAAGGTTAGGTTCATTGGAATTGGTTTGGGTTTGAAACAGAGTTTTCAAGTGTTGAAAATTGAAGTAATGTTCTGTTATATAATGCAGCTTGGCCGTTGGGAGGAGGCGGTTTCAGATTATGAGGTATTGAGAAAGGAGCTTCCAGGAGATAGTGAGGTTGCTGAGTCTTTAGAGAGAGCAAAAACAGCTCTATGGAGTAAACCTGAAGAAACTAAATACTTGGGATTCAATGACGAAGTTGAAGAGGTTTCTACTTTAGATAAGTTCAAGACCGCGACATCACTTCCCGGTAAGAAAAGTGATTATAAAGTTTTTCAAGATTCCTCTGTTTTTGGGTTTGCTTAAAAATGGAAACTTTTTGTGTGTCAGGAATCTCTGTGTTTTACTTCAAATCATCATCAAACCGACAGAGCGAAGTGATATCTCCATTCGTCAACACCTTATGCTTGCGGTATCCATTAGTACATTTCTTCAAGGCAAGTCACATGTTCTTCTTATAAAGCTCTTTGGATTGGATTAACATTTTTAGCGCAAAATGGGTCTATCTCTTGTTTTATATTTTTGAACTAACGAGGTATGTTTTTGTGTGTGTCTGTCTATACTCTATAGGTGGATGTGGAGGAGAGCTTGGCATTGGCGAAAGCAGAGAGCATCAAGAAAGTTCCAACCTTTAAGATATACAAAGAGGGAGAGAAGTTGAAGGAATTGGTGTGTCCAAGTCACAAGTTACTAGAGGACTCGGTTACGCGTTTCCTCTTATAACACATCTTTCTTCTCAAATTCTTTTCCAAAATCTTTAAGCCTTTGAGAACGTAAATGATTCAAAGAGCCATTTTTTCTTTTGTTACTATCTTTTATTGAAATCTGTTCTGGTTGTATTAATCTGAGGGAAATATATGAAGATGTATTATCTTAAAATCTTCCAATCTTTTTTTGTTTTGTTTGATAATAAGAGAAATATATGAAGATGTATTATCTTAAAATCTTTCAATCTTGTAGCTCATAATAAGATACATGAATATCTTTATCCTACCATGCATGATAACCACCATCCGTCACACCACTTGAAAAAAAAGTAACTAACCTTGGCAATAGGATCATATGGAGAAAATGGTGAATTAGTTAATGAACATCTTGGCACGACCATTATGTTTTGTTTTTAATTGGGTATTAGATTTCAAATCCACATGCATAACGCCATAACTTCCAACCACACGTTTTGTAGCATGTTTTTCCTTGGAATATTAAACTGATCCACAAAGGCTATATATTGTATAAATAAGACCAAGTTCGTAAAAACTATTTGAGAACTGCCCTTTGCATGCAATGTTGTGTTTCGTTTTTACTAATTTCCTGTTTACAGAGGAAACTACAATAATAACAAGTTTCCATGAAAAAAGTAACATGTACAACGACAAGATATCACGGTTGAAGAAGTAAGCAACAGATGAATTTGATTGTGGTGTGTAACGACAAGATACATGTACGTGTATCTTACATCGTTTTAGTTCTTTATGTCCGTTTTAAGTATCTAAATCCAGATCATGATTTTTCTAGCAAATTAGAAAATTTGAATTATTATCAAAAGTAATTAAGAAAATGAAAAATAAAAAACATTTGGTAGACCATTTTCCTTTATCGGCATCTTCGAGAACCCATAATTTGTAAAACAATGACTCTAAGATAACCCATGCTAGTCTTCCCTTGTAGCTCACCAGTGAAAGTTTATTATTTTCCACGTAATATTGCATACAACTTTGTGTTTGGATTAATTTGAACTTTTCAGTCCTCACATCAAAACACACTATTTTCCTTGAAAACCCGTCGCCAACAGCATAATATAAAACTCCGTTGATGCATATCCCTTTACAAGGAAAATTACCGTCAGGAACATCTGTGATCCGTCTCCAAGATTCTTGAACTCCCAATGTAAGAACATGGGTCTGCTCAGTGGAGCTATATGACATGCTCAGTAGTTTATACGTATTGCCAATAGGATCGTACCCTAAATAGCTTTTTGTAATAGAGGGTTTATCTGGTTTTTGAAAGGTAGCGTATTCTCCCACCGAAGGATTCCAAACTACAATACGAGTTAAATAATGGAAAGAAATCAAACCATGAACGGACTGAAACTGAAAACAGGACTTGTATCTGTCTTCTTCCTTGAGCGTGAGATTATAATCTTCCACGTGAGGTACACACGTCTTGAGATTCTTATGTTGCGAGAGAGAGACGAATACTTCGTTGTCATTTCTTTGGAAGTTTAACAAAAGACAAGAGCGCTCTTATGAATGCGTCGTGAAGGAGTTGATGAAATCTTCATCGGAGGTGAGAGACGCCCACTGTTTTGAGACGCATCGAAACCTCATCAAAGATTTTGCTGGCAGTCTAACAAGTATCTCCCTCGTTAAGTCAAAGGGAATCCAATCGGTATGAGAACAATTGGATGATGAAGGTTGTCTTGTTACATGGATCTCTTTTGTCTTAACTTCTCTTTTTTCCATGGCTCCTTAGTTCTAAAATCTTATCTCATGTCATCATTTTTCAATGGTTATAAACTTATATGACTTACCATATATATATATATATATGGTAAATTTATTTTGGTGAATCTCGTAATTTTCAAATGATTTTATGAATTTAGAGAAATTTAGATGTTTGTGGATATGTATGTTCAACCTAAACTATATATAGATGTTTTAATTTAGAGAAATTCATTTTTCCTTTACAACTCCTCTTCTGTATTTGCATGGATTTTGTTTTGGCTTTTTATGTATATATTTCAGAGGGAATTTATATTGGTGAATCTCCTACTATTTTGATTTATATTATGATTTTAAGATCATATATATGGGCTTTTATAATAAATACATTCAAATGTTTTATTTCAAAAGATTCTTAAATTTCATTATTGACAAAAAAACATATAGATATCATTTACGAATGAGCAGTGAGACTCCTTGTTTAGAGAACATGTTATGGAGTATGGAGTTGAGATTTGTTCCCTTGTGTAGAAGATAATAAACCATACCTCACCATTCTTGTCTTCAAATGTTAATTGAGAAAAACTCATATATACATATACATGTGTGATGTGTAGGTGTGTGTGGATATGTATTTTCAACCTAAACTATATATTTCCATATATTTAGATGTTTTAATTTAGAGAAATTTATGTTTCCTTTACAACTCATATTGTGTATTTTTATGAGATTTTCTTGCTACTAGGTTTTTAACCCGCGCACGCGCGGGTCTGTTCTAATGATTTTTTAAATTGTTATATTTAAATTTATTTTCTTCCAAAGCTTCACAATTTTTTATTTTTTGCTGTTTTTTTGTAAACTTATCTTTATAATATATTTTTTAATTATTTTTTTACTTTACCAATTTAATTATTTTATAATTAATCATAATAAATAAGATACTTTTTAAAAACGTATTTTCTGTAAAAAACATACAATACACTACAAGAAAACATGGTGTATTTCTACGACCATTCCTACGAAATGTGTTGTAGGAAAGATTTTCTACCCTTTTTCTACAATATTACTACGAAAAATAATGTTGGTCGACATTTGGTAGGAACTTTCCTACGAAAAGACGTCGTAGGAACTTTCCTACCACATTCTTACGCATATAATTTTGGTAGGAAATTTAGTTAAAACTTCGTAGGAAATCGGTGAAGACAAGATAACCGTTATGGCCGTATAAACGTCATCAATAATTTCCTACGAGATTCTTACAGCAATATCTCTGTCTATTATTCGTAAGAATATCGTATTAGTTTTGTATCGTATGCTGTTGAAATTTTCTAAAAAACCTTTTTATTTTTAATTGAATGGTATTTTGATGATTGTGTTTCAATAAGTTCTTCGCTGTTAGAACCCAGAATTTCACAAGAAACAGAGCAGCAATAACAGAGCATTAAGAGGAGAAAGATACCAAAAATCTCATTTATATCCCAAATTTCGTTTGTTTGGACTGGGCCTTTAATTTTTTAGCCTGTTAACTATTTAATTAATTAATTAAATATTTAATTATAACTAACCCTAAATCTACTCAGCTTCTCCGCCGTATCTCTTTCTTTCTCTCTTCCTTGACGAAATTAGATGGCGACGAACGAATCATCTCGAAATTTGACTTCACGGCGAAATCTCATGTCTTCATATCCGAGGAGTTCTACCCAGCAGTTCTCTCTACCATTGCCCCCCGTTTTGCAGGTACAGTAACAACTTATCTCTTATATTTTGTGTTTGTAGATTTGTTATTCAGGTTCACTCAAAGTCGTTAGAAATGAAAACTGTTTCTAGGTTAGATAAGTTATTACTCTCTGGATTCGGGTTCTGATTTCTTGTCTCGAACCTCTTATTTAATGTTATTTTACATTCTGGATTCGGTTTCTGAATATTTCTATCTTGTTTGTTTCTAGATTTCTTGGAAAATGTGTTTTTGCACTATCTCTTTGCTTAGAAAATTCTAAAATTTTATCTTCACACGTGCTTGTTTGTTTCTTTGCTACTTCAATTTTTATGAAAGTTATCTTACTTTGTTTATACATTGTTAGGTAATCTCAGCAACCTATGATAAACAAGGTCGATATGGGTTGAAGAGGTTAGTGGATAACATGCACATGTCTTTTCCATGCAACTCTAATGCAGCCCATGCAGATCACGAGCAACTGCGAGAGGAGGTGAAGACGTTGAAGAAGATTCAAATTGAGAAAGATAATCAAATCAAATTTCTCTTAAAATGCAACAAGTTATTCCTTGATAAGTTAGGCATTTGTCCACCGTCTCCTTTGTCATCTCCAATGGAGGAGGATGAATCAGAGACTCAAGAATAGATCATGGGAATTTAAGGTGTTTCTTTTTCTACTAATTAAGCTTCTAGAACTTAAAAAAAAGAATCTACGTAGATCTTTTTTTTGGTATTTTGTAATGTAAAATATTTGGCTTATGTTTAATGTTATTTAAATTTATAATTATTTTCTTACTAATTAATTTCAAATTTAAATTTTTGTACTAATTTATTTTTGAATATTGGTCATTTGATTTTTAATTAAACTCGTAGGAAATTGGTAAGAAACATTTTTGTAGGATAATAGTAGAAAATATCTCCAAGTTAAATCGTAGGTAAAAGGTTGATTATATTGGTAGGTAAGTGGTAGAAAATCTCTTATCTACGAATATTTTCGTAGGAAATTGGTTAGCACGTTACTACGACTTTCCTACGAATTACCTACGACGTTTTCCTACGAAATTTCCTTCGATAAATTTCGTAGGAAAACAGGCAATTTATTACGATTTTCCTACCGTTTTCGATTTTCCTACGGAAGAAACCCTACGACTCAATTTCGTAGGAAATCGGTAAGAAATCACTGTTTCCTACAATGTTTTAACGATTATGTCCGTAGGAAACCGTTATGTTTTCTTGTAGTGATAGCCCTATCCTCACATTTCTTAATATTTATATGTTTTGTCAATTGCTTCATAAAATTCGACATAAGAATAGATCCCAAACTTTTCTTTTTCAATATTATGACAACATGATCAGCCTGAACCAACATTGTTTTTAAGTGAACCGTATTAGAAACTTGTGAAAAAAAAAACCTTATAATTTGGCTTGTCGTCTTTGTTCTAAATTGGTAGCTTCTTTTTCTTTTTATTTATTCTTATTCGTTTTTTTGGTCATCTTCACTCATCTTCTTTGCTCTTCTTCGTCTTCGCTCGTCTTGCTTCCTCTTTTGGTTTCTTCTCCTCCTTTCTTCTTTGATTAATTCTTAATTTTCAATTTCATCTTCGTGGTTTCTTATTCGGTGTTTCCGTCTTCAACTTTGTTATTCTTTGGGTCTTTTTTTTTCTTTCTACTTTGGTATCTTCGTCTTCGATAATTTTTAATTTTATCTTCTTAATGTTCTTCTTTCATATCCTCTTCATATGTCATTTTTCAGTCTGAGTATATGATTCAGCCATTTTCTTCAACAAACTTGTGGCAAATGAGAACTCTTCACTGTAAATCCTTCAAGGTGCAACAAAGATGATTACTTTGTCTCCAATAGTTTTATTGTCTACTCCTTTCCACCCTTGGATTTTTTGGCATCCGTAGAAGGCTGGTACTCTCTTCCTATTTGAATATTGTGAGTTACAGTAAAATAAAATCTTCCTTAAGGCTGTGAAAGATGTCCATGAATGAATGCCCGAAGTTCAGCTAAGAAAGCAGCCTCTTTTTATCCTCTGTTTGGCATGCATTAGAATATGGAACACAAAATATTGTTTTTGTAATGCAACTTGGAATATTTTCTTAGAAAAATGTGGTATGATATGGATTATCAAATCTCCCTTGAACTCTCATCTGCTCCGTAGAAGTGCAAGTATACTAATTACTTCGTTTTTTCTTCCTCTTCACTTATATTCACTCATCCACACTCATCATCTACTTTGATCTTCTTCGTATTTGCTCGTCTTGCTTCTTCTTTAGACAAATGTGGTATGAGATGGATTATCAAATCTTCTCCGTAGAAGTGTAAGTATACTAATTACTTCGTTTTTTCTTCATCTTCACTTATATTCACTCATCTACACTCATCATCTACTTTGATCTTCTTCGTATTTGCTCGTCTTGCTTCTTCTTTTTCGTTCTTGTTTGGTTTATTCTCCTCTGTTCTTATTTGATTCCTTATATATCAATTTCATCTACGTGGTTTCAGATTCGGTGTTTCCATCTTCTACTTTATTCTTCTTTGGTTTTTTTTTTGTCTTTCTATTTTGGTATCTTCGTCTTCGATGTTCTTATTTTTATCTTCTTATTGTTCTTATTCCATATCTTCTTCATATGGTATTTTATAATATGAATTTGTGATTCAGTCTTTTTTTCAACGAAGTTGCGGCAAGCGAACACCTTTCATTGAAACTTCTTCAAGGTGCAAAAAAGATGACTACTCTGTCTCCAATAGTTTTATTATCTACTCCTCTCTACCTTTGGATTTTTTTGCATTTGTAGAAGGCCCATAAACTTTTCCTATTTGAATATTGTGATTTACATAAAGATAAAATCCTCTTTAAAGTTGTGAATAATGCCCAATTGCCCATGAATGAGTGATGCCCGAAGTTCAGCTAAGAAAGCAGACTCTCTTTACCCTCTCTATTTGGCATGCATATAATCTGAAATGGAAAATCTTGTTGTGATAATGCAACTTGGAATGTTTCCTTGGACAAATGTAGTATGAGATGGATTATCAAATCTCCCAAGAACTCTCCTTTGCAATGCAAGTCTAGTCTTTACTTGTTTGACCAATATTGTTGAAATTCTTGTGATAAATAAAGTGTAATTTAGTGGGCTATATGCATATTTTTCTTTTCCCAATGTAAGTTGGATCTCGCAAAACTTGATCTCTCTTATCATCTCAAAGGAACTACACATGAATTTAAATGTCTTCTTCATGACATTAGCCGTCTTTATTATTATTATTTTTTATCTTTTTTTATTATTTCATATCTAGATTATGTAATGTTAATATCCACTCACTTGCAAAGTTGGCTATATTTACTTTGAACAAATCTTTCAGTTATTACTTATTAGGGTGTAACTTTCTCTTTTTGTTTTTTTTTTTTTAAGTTAGCTAAAAAAGAAAACTCACCATATAATTTTTCATGATTAATATAGTAGTTCCCTTAAAATATTTTTGTATAAATCTTTCAAATATAGTTACTATTTTAACAAAAATTGAAGCACTTTATTTAATTATTTTGGAATTTTGAAGTTTAATAATTTAAAATCGGTTATATATTAGAGTTACTAAAAAATTAATATTACAAATTTACAAAATCGTTTATATATTAGTTTCTTTTTATTGGTTTAGAAAATATAATTTCTTTATTTAATAAATTATTTAATACGAAAATAAATAATTCCCTTAAATTCGGAAATTATCTGAAAATATAAAAAGGAAATCAATTAATTTTACAAAGACTGTAATTAAATTTATATGATGATGTGGAATGAAACTATTGATTGTTTAAAATTGGAAAAATTACTTAATTTTGGAGATGTTAATGTGGACCAATTAAATCGCGTCTTTAAATCTTATGTGGACACTTTTAGAGGCTTATAGCCTCAACTTTTATATTCTCTTAAAATATTTTTGTATAAATCTTTCAAATATATTACTAAATCGAATTTAAGTTTTAACAAAAATCGAAGCACTTTGTTTAATTATTTTGGAACTGTGAGGTTTCTTAATTTAAAATCAGTTATATATTAGAGTTATTAAAAAAAATATTACAAATTTAAAAATTGTTTATATATTAGTTTCTTTTCATTGGTATTTGAAAATATAATTTCCTTATTTAATAAATTAGTTAATACGAAAATAAATAATGCCCTTAAATTAGGAAATTTTCTGAAAATATAAAAAGGAAATCAATTAATTTTACAAATACTATAATTAAATTTATATGATGATGTGGAATGAAACTATTGGTTGTATAAAATTAGAAAATTACTTAATTTTGGAGATGCTTATGTGGACCAATAAAATCGCGTCTTTTAATCCTATGTGGACGCTCTCAGAGGCTTATAGCCTCAACTTTTATATAGTATAGATTTATGTATATCTATATTTTAGAGGAAATTTATATTGATGAATATCGTAAATTTTGAATTATGTATAATGAGTTGGTAATTGCTAAGATCACATATATATATATATATATATATATATATATATATATAGGAGTATGAAGTTGAGATTTGTTGACTTGTGTAGAAAAATAATAAAACCATATCTCATTATTCTTGTCTTACAACATTTGAGCAAAAACTCATTGGTGTTGTTGTCGTTGTTGAGGATCTTGTTGTTCATGAAAACTTGGGTTTTGCTTTTGCATGAAGCAACCTAAAGCGTTATAAGTAGCATTGAGATCAGAGGAAGAGCATGAGGATCCGCCGCCGCCGCCGCTTCCAAGACGGAGAACGTCGCCGGACTGATGATCATGATTCTGCGGGGCCCCCATGTGGGAACAGACCAAGGATCATGCTTGACGTGTTGTTGTTGGTGTTTCGTCCGTACGGGAAGTGATGACTTAGCTTGGCAAAGAAGTCAAAGAAGATGGTTGTCTCTTAGTCTCTTGAGCCAACGCGTCACAGAAGGCCAGTTTAAGTGAAATTAATGATTAACATTAGCAGTCTCGCCTGTGACAAAACAACAAAATATTTAATTAACAATCGATCAAATCTATTGGATCGCCAGGTGTACGTATATATATAAAAAATTCTTTCTTACCAAAGGCTTATATATATATATATATAAATTAACTGATGAACTAAAAAGACATAATTTGGGAAAGTACATGTATAAGTTAGTAGAGAGAGGTGTCACGTAGGTAGCTACAAACAAAATCGCGTGTAATTATGAGATCTCGAAGTGTAGATAGATGGCTAGAAAGTCACTCTCTACTATACATCCTATGATTCCTATCATTATTGTTATTTCAACTATGTGATTTTAATAGCTTTCTTACACACTCACATGCATTGATGGATGTGGAGGAGATCTTGGCATTGGCGAAAGCAGCTGAGAGAGCATCAAGAAAGTTCCAACTTTTAAGATATACAAAGAGGGAGAGAAGTTGAAGGAAATGGTGTGTGACTCGGTTACTCAGAAGCAGAGCCCGTCCCTGATGATCTAGAGGCTGCAATCCAGAAAAAAAATAAATGGGCGTTTATAAATACTGTTAAGTAAATTTTTTTGTTTTTTCTAATGATAGATAGAATGTGAGAATCAAACCCTCCACCTCAAAACTAACTAAAACCAAAAATAACCATTTTTCTAATGATATTATTTTACAAAACCAGAAACAGAAATCTATATAAGGTTTTTTCACAAAATTATGGGCCATAAGCCCAAATTTGCTTTGCTCACAAGTTACTGGAGGAGTCTTACGCATTTCCTCTAATAACACATCTTTCTTTCCATATTTTTCAAAAAACTGTAACATTCGAGAACTTAAATTGATACAAAGAGCCAAATATTTTTTGGGATGAAATTTTCTTTCCTTTTCTTTGATTCACTATATTATATATAATTATATATCCTATTAATCTGAGGAAAATTCATCAACTTATTTCGGGTGTTGGCTAAGAGAAATGTAATACAAATGGGCTTTCGATAGAATACCCATTACAGATCGACAGTAACAATGATTAATGAATTAGAGTCTTTGAGAAATGCCCCTTAGCTGGCGTGAAAAAATTGTGTTTCTTTTCTTTCTTTTTTTACTAGTCTCCAACTACAATAATAAATACAAGTTTCCAAATGAAAAAAAAAAAGGTGAGAAGAAAAAATGTACAACGATCACATGAGGTATATAAAAAAAGTGATCTATACTAAATTGATCAAGGAATATTAGAAATGAAATCACAATAATACACAAGTTTCCAAATGAATAAAAGGTGAGAAGAAAAATTCACAACTAACATGTAAAACGACCATATGAGGTATGTAGAAAAAGTGATATGTACTATATTGATCAAGGAATATTTTTGAGAAATTTTATGAAATACACCTTTTTAGGTGCAAATTTTCAAAACTACACCTATAGTGTGAAAATTTTCAAAAATACACCTTTTCCCAATTTTAATATATATGTTTGGGTTCACTAATCTTATATTAGGGTTTAGATTTTGGGGTTTAGATTTAAGGGTTCAATGTTAGATTTTAAGGTTTTGGATTTATATTTTAGGGTTTAGAGTTCTTTTACTAAATGAAAAAAAATGTACTTTTGAAAATTGGCACCATAGAAATGTATTTTTGAAAATTTGCACCTCAAGAGGTGTAGTTTTGAAATTTCCCCAATATTTTTTCAACCGTCTTGCGAAAAACAAAACAAATAAAGTGCCGATCATGTATGTAATTAATTAAGGACGGTGTTTCCAACTATAACTTTATACAAAAGAATCAAAAGAATAAAAACAGGCTACGTTAAACGTTTTCCCTCTATATAAACGAGCACAATAAACACAGAGAAATCATTCACAACACATTTAAAAAAAGAAAAAAAAAAACAAATCACGATACAACACAGTAACGAGAAAATGGCAAACGAAGCACGAATAGCCGCGGTGTTGAAATCAGCTCGGGAAAACTTAGACACTGGGCGTAGATACCACGGTGAATAATAAGTTTCATAATTCTCAAGTTTTTCATGCGATCGATCGACGCGTAATATTATTCTCACCCACTTTTTCGCTTTTGTTTTTCAGATGTTATTTGTGCTATGGTAGGCCTTTCAACTTCGGCAGACGAGTCCATCGTCTTTGAGGCGATTGATGGTCTTATTGCCGTCGACGTGCATCGCTCGACCGATTTTGAAAATTGGCACCATAGAAATGTATTTTTGAAAATTTGCACCTCAAGAGGTGTAGTTTTGAAATTTTCCCAATATTTTTTCAACCGTCTTGCGAAAAACAAAACAAATAAAGTGCCGATCATGTATGTAATTAATTAAGGACGGTGTTTCCAACTATAACCTTATACAAAAGAATCAAAAGAATAAAAACAGGCTACGTTAAACGTTTTCCCTCTATATAAACGAGCACAATAAACACAGAGAAATCATTCACAACACATTTAAAAAAAGAAAAAAAAAAACAAATCACGATACAACACAGTAACGAGAAAATGGCAAACGAAGCACGAATAGCCGCGGTGTTGAAATCAGCTCGGGAAAACTTAGACACTGGGCGTAGATACCACGGTGAATAATAAGTTTCATAATTCTCAAGTTTTTCATGCGATCGATCGACGCATAATATTATTCTCACCCACTTTTTCGCTTTTGTTTTTCAGATGTTATTTGTGCTATGGTAGGCCTTTCAACTTCGGCAGACGAGTCCATCGTCTTTGAGGCGATTGATGGTCTTATTGCCGTCGACGTGCATCGCTCGACCGATTTTGAAAATTGGCACCATAGAAATGTATTTTTGAAAATTTGCACCTCAAGAGGTGTAGTTTTGAAATTTTCCCAATATTTTTTCAACCGTCTTGCGAAAAACAAAACAAATAAAGTGTCGATCATGTATGTAATTAATTAAGGACGGTGTTTCCAACTATAACCTTATACAAAAGAATCAAAAGAATAAAAACAGGCTACGTTAAACGTTTTCCCTCTATATAAACGAGCACAATAAACACAGAGAAATCATTCACAACACATTTAAAAAAAGAAAAAAAAAAACAAATCACGATACAACACAGTAACGAGAAAATGGCAAACGAAGCACGAATAGCCGCGGTGTTGAAATCAGCTCGGGAAAACTTAGACACTGGGCGTAGATACCACGGTGAATAATAAGTTTCATAATTCTCAAGTTTTTCATGCGATCGATCGACGCGTAATATTATTCTCACCCACTTTTTCGCTTTTGTTTTTCAGATGTTATTTGTGCTATGGTAGGCCTTTCAACTTCGGCAGACGAGTCCATCGTCTTTGAGGCGATTGATGGTCTTATTGCCGTCGACGTGCATCGCTCGACCGATTTTGAAAATTGGCACCATAGAAATGTATTTTTGAAAATTTGCACCTCAAGAGGTGTAGTTTTGAAATTTTCCCAATATTTTTTCAACCGTCTTGCGAAAAACAAAACAAATAAAGTGTCGATCATGTATGTAATTAATTAAGGACGGTGTTTCCAACTATAACCTTATACAAAAGAATCAAAAGAATAAAAACAGGCTACGTTAAACGTTTTCCCTCTATATAAACGAGCACAATAAACACAGAGAAATCATTCACAACACATTTAAAAAAAGAAAAAAAAAAACAAATCACGATACAACACAGTAACGAGAAAATGGCAAACGAAGCACGAATAGCCGCGGTGTTGAAATCAGCTCGGGAAAACTTAGACACTGGGCGTAGATACCACGGTGAATAATAAGTTTCATAATTCTCAAGTTTTTCATGCGATCGATCGACGCGTAATATTATTCTCACCCACTTTTTCGCTTTTGTTTTTCAGATGTTATTTGTGCTATGGTAGGCCTTTCAACTTCGGCAGACGAGTCCATCGTCTTTGAGGCGATTGATGGTCTTATTGCCGTCGACGTGCATCGCTCGACCGATTTTGAAAATTGGCACCATAGAAATGTATTTTTGAAAATTTGCACCTCAAGAGGTGTAGTTTTGAAATTTTCCCAATATTTTTTCAACCGTCTTGCGAAAAACAAAACAAATAAAGTGCCGATCATGTATGTAATTAATTAAGGACGGTGTTTCCAACTATAACCTTATACAAAAGAATCAAAAGAATAAAAACAGGCTACGTTAAACGTTTTCCCTCTATATAAACGAGCACAATAAACACAGAGAAATCATTCACAACACATTTAAAAAAAGAAAAAAAAAAACAAATCACGATACAACACAGTAACGAGAAAATGGCAAACGAAGCACGAATAGCCGCGGTGTTGAAATCAGCTCGGGAAAACTTAGACACTGGGCGTAGATACCACGGTGAATAATAAGTTTCATAATTCTCAAGTTTTTCATGCGATCGATCGACGCATAATATTATTCTCACCCACTTTTTCGCTTTTGTTTTTCAGATGTTATTTGTGCTATGGTAGGCCTTTCAACTTCGGCAGACGAGTCCATCGTCTTTGAGGCGATTGATGGTCTTATTGCCGTCGACGTGCATCGCTCGACCGATTTTGAAAATTGGCACCATAGAAATGTATTTTTGAAAATTTGCACCTCAAGAGGTGTAGTTTTGAAATTTTCCCAATATTTTTTCAACCGTCTTGCGAAAAACAAAACAAATAAAGTGTCGATCATGTATGTAATTAATTAAGGACGGTGTTTCCAACTATAACCTTATACAAAAGAATCAAAAGAATAAAAACAGGCTACGTTAAACGTTTTCCCTCTATATAAACGAGCACAATAAACACAGAGAAATCATTCACAACACATTTAAAAAAAGAAAAAAAAAAACAAATCACGATACAACACAGTAACGAGAAAATGGCAAACGAAGCACGAATAGCCGCGGTGTTGAAATCAGCTCGGGAAAACTTAGACACTGGGCGTAGATACCACGGTGAATAATAAGTTTCATAATTCTCAAGTTTTTCATGCGATCGATCGACGCGTAATATTATTCTCACCCACTTTTTCGCTTTTGTTTTTCAGATGTTATTTGTGCTATGGTAGGCCTTTCAACTTCGGCAGACGAGTCCATCGTCTTTGAGGCGATTGATGGTCTTATTGCCGTCGACGTGCATCGCTCGACCGAAGCTATTTTTAAAAATTTCCATCTGTTCGTAGCGGTGTTGAAAGCGAAAGGCGTGGTTAGAGAATCTGACATGAGTAGTCGTGAGCAAGCCTCAAAGATGGCGAAAGAAGCTTTCATCGACCGTCGTTACTGCGGTAAAAAGAACTCTCTCTCTCTCTCTCACATTCATTTTTCGTGTGTCACATTACCATTTCTGTATTGACATAAATTAAACTTTACGTGTTTGCAAGACGTGATCCACGGATTGGCAACAGTGTACAACTACGACGGAGATTTGCCTGCCACGGATTGGGCAAAGGTCTATCTATTTATGCCAAATTTGATCCAAGAGCACAGGTTGGAGATTTATATCGAGCTATTTGACGTGGGCGACCATGTATTGAAGATGATGTGTGTGGATCAGAAATGTCATTCATGCGGCCGCGTGATCTGATCGGAGGGGGCTAAAGACTATTTAGTTATTTATGAATAATGTTATAAAAAAAGAAGAAGATTATTTATTATTAACAACAATATATCTCTATATACATATCTGATATCTCTCTCTGTTATTTAATTTTAATTTTCCGTTTACAGAACATGCAATATTTTGGTAACTACGAACTATTTATCCAGCTTGTCAAAGTAAGCTATGTAACCAAAACCAAAAAATACATACACTAAAAAGAAGTAAAGAAAGAAAGAAAAAGGAAGAAGAAAAAAGAAATGACTAACGAGAGAATCATAATTTTTAAAGTCGCAACAACCTCGTACGTACCTAACCAAAAAGACACTCGATCTCCGGACCGGTAGATTCTTTTTGAATTTCCAGCGAGATGATGACGTCATCGACAAACCCGATTTTCCGAGATCTCGATTTGGGTTCGCCGATTTCTCCGGTGAGGGATCACAATTCTCGCGGCGGCGGAACCGATAACCGGCGTTTTACCCACCCGAAACATTTTGGAAACCGGAACCGCCACACGCGCCTCCGTTAGACCCGGCCAATTACGGGCATGGTAACATCATTCTGCAGCGGCGGCGGAATCTAATGGCAAGACGAATCAAACGACGAGAGGTGAAGTCAGAAGGCAGGTTACGAAATGTATAGGAAATTTAATTTCGCAGAGGCATTAGCGAGCAATCTCGTTGTCGCCGGAAAATCCAGCCTTAAAGAAGCAATCACGCGGCGGCGGCTGCGTCAGGGCGGTTAGAGGAAGCGGGGAGACTTGATCCTTCTTACGCCAGAGAGACTTGCTTCTCTCTATCTCAGGTACAATGTTACAATCTAATCCAATTCGTCAAGTTTCATCGGTAATGATGATGTGAGGGAAAAAAAGGAGTAAACTTTATTGGTTTTGGTTTAGATTTGGAGAAGCTGAGAATGCGAGACGCCATCTTTGTAATTACGGGCAATGTTTTCCTGATCTTATCCGATTGTTTGTCAAGCTCTTCTAGTTGGTAATCACCACAAAATTGTTAATGTGTTGCTATTTCTTTTTCTAATGTTACTGATTGATTTGTAACTTTTGACTTTGAGTTATTGATTTAGGTGACTATTGTAAATCTGTGTCGACATAACCAAGAGAAAGAAGGTTATGGGCTTGTGCCATAATGTGATCATCAAGCTTAGCCCAGCTGAGAGGTTTCTTAAACAATTGTTTCATGTGCCTTTCGTGTTCAAACGGGTTGATGCATTGCTCTATGTCGCCAATTTCCACACCAATTTATTTGGGTGAATCTCGTAAATTCCAATTTTTTTAATTATGTAATGAATTGCAATCATCTGATATCATTAGTTCTTAAGATCATATATATGTAAATATGGACTTTTATAATGAATACATTCAAATTTTGTATAAAAAAATATTCTTAAATTGAGTGAACGTGTTATGGAGTTGAGATTTCTTGATTTGTTTAGAAAATAATAAATCACATCTTATCATTCTTGTCTTCAAACATGTAAGCAAAAACTCATTTGTGGAGAGAAAACATGTGCATATATTGACTGTGACTAGATTACTCCTTTTTAAGTCTCAAATTCTTTTGGTTTACAATGGGGAGGGGAGGTGAATTTATGTTTTCACTGCAATCTTCCTGATGTCACGTTTTTAGCCACATCTTGGTAATACTATTTCCCTTGCATGTGTATTCTTTCTTCAAGCAAAACTTTCTTTGAATTCATATTATGGTAAACAAGTAAACAACCATTTTATCTTCTTTGTACGTTTGGTTGCCGTTATTTTGTTAAATTTCAAATTCACATACATCCCAACGACACGAGAGATCTAAAATCATATAACGTATATTTAGATTTCAACGTGGCGGCTATATCTAAACTATATTTTAAAAAGAATTTCAACGTTAGAATACTACTATAAACAATTTTAATCAATTCACCAATTATAATTTCCGTATGAATATAAATTAAATAGGAATTAAGATATAAGTTTACGTGTTGTAGACGTGATCGATGCATTGGCTGTTGTGTACAACCACGATGGCAATTTGAGTACCTCGGACTGGGAGAAGGTACATGTGATGATGCCACGACTGATCAGTGACAACAAGAAGGAGATGTATACAATGGGGCTCAAAATTGTCGTGGATGCATATGAATCTGATCGGAGAACATTAATTAGTTCTATAAAGGTCCGAGTGTGTCTGTGAGAAAGTTTCTAGGTAAAAGGAAAAATTTGGCAAATATTTCGGAAAACATATGCAATATTATAGCCAATCTTTTTTTGTTTGTTAATTCTTTAATTTTGTTAGAATTTTTGGCTATTACCTCAAATTTTTCTCTTTGTGTTATATAACTTGTTACATTTAGTTATACTACTTGCCCGTATAAGAAAAAAAGACCGATACAAAATACAAACTTATGTTTCGAGAATAAGGTAATCGTGTCGTTTGGTCAACTAAATGTGATAACAATTATAAAAATAATGAATAGTAATGATTTAAAACACGTTGAGAAATGGCATAGCGAGCCTAAGAGCTGCGGCATTTTACCTTTTGTAAAACTTGTTCTTTTCCCTTTTTTTACAGATTATGAAGGGTAAAGAACACATAAAGTTAAGTCTCGGCTCTAAAAGTAGATACTGTAGGAGTTTTTTTGTATGATTTCAATGTCAATTCACATGATTTGATTTGATTGGGCCTTCGTTAAGTTGTTTCTATTGTGTTTTTACTCTATCTTTCATATGATGTTAGACTAACGTTATGTTAGTGGTTACTCTTATTTAGTTATTTCCCATTTCAACTTAATTTTATGGTCTCAACTCTCACGAGAGAAAATCAGAATTTTGTTGGTTCAAATCCATTTCCTTTTTTTTTGTACTGAATTCATTGTGTAGATATTCCAAATTAAAGTCACCAAAAAACTTTTTTTTTTCCCTTAGGTTGGAACAAGAATCTCCTAAAAGGGATCAAATTTACAAAATGAAGACAAATTCCTTTTCTTTGTTATCATATCTTCTATTGGTTGGTGGTAGAAGAAGAACGACTGGATGCTGACTAACCTCTCCCTTCTTCGACAATGGCTAAAACAAACTCATGATACTGCAAATCACAAGTGGAAGACAAAAACATGACTTTTTAGCCCAACAACTTCAGAACATGTTTATATGATTTTTCAAAGGCAAGAGATAAACTCAGATAATGAAGTAAATAAAAGCAAAGAAAGAGAGCCTACCCTAGAAGTAACTTGGGAAATCCATCAACCCATAATCAAGAGCTGCATGGACAGGGAAATTTCACTTATTATTACGAATACAAAGCGGGTAAAAGAATGATGCATAAACTGCTGATGGTTGTTAGTCCACGTAGCAAATCAACAGGCAAAGGCTAGACTAACAAGTAGAGTTTGACAAGCCAAGTGATAGCTAAAGAAACGAGATCTATTGTGTAACGCGACAGCCAAGTTGCAGGTAATATTTGATAAAACAGAAATCACCTGAGACTATAACATCTCAATAGCTAACGGTTGCAATTCATTTTGAGTTTATAACCCCTTTCATGTTTCATGCTAGTATATTTTCTCAGTGTCATTCTTCATCAGAACCTCGATCATTGTCCCGCTAAACCAAAAATGATTCTCAAACATATAATGCATTCTCTTTCTCTTTTGTAACATCAATACCATCATTTCCTTACTTCCACAGAAATTAGTATGTAAGCTTACAATCTCCTCAATCACCAACAAAATTACAGTATCATGTTGAGCCCTTTTCATGCTAGTAGAGTTCAAACAAACTTCTTGGGACTCACACTTAAATAAAAAAGCAATAGAGGAAATCATCAACGTCCGGCTCATGCTTAAGCTATAGCAGCAAACAGAAGCAGATTCAACTTGAGACCTCATGAGCAGTTTCCCAACTAATGGTCATGTCAGTCATTCAGATTCCTCATCAATATAATCGGTTACAGCACACAGAGATTCAAAAGTAAAAAGTAAACTCTTTTTCCAATCTTAAAAGTTGGAAACTGGATCATCCCATTCAAGTTGATGAATATCTACTTGTACAACTATGGGTCAAGACTTAAAGAGTATCCTCAAACCCAACATTCAGAAGGAATCTTCCCCAATTATGCTTAAAGGAAAATGCAATACCAAAACCCAAAAGAAGAAGCCATGACTGTGACACGGAGAAGAAACAATGGAGAGAGAGAGGTTTCAAGTCTCACCGGCGGAGGCAGAGGATGTCGGACCTTTGGACCCAGAGGTACGCCTGAGCTTGTGAAGACGAACCTGCATCTCAGTGAACAGCTGCATCCTATGGCATTCCAATTCCTTCGCGAATCGCATTCTCTGCTTCTCCAATTCCACCATTTCCTTCCGCTTCCTCTCCTCCACCCTCTCGTATATCTGCCCGAGCTTCTCGATTGCCTCCGCCACTTCCTTGTAACCTTGTTTCCTCTCAACCTCCCTCTCACGTTTTCTGTTACCTCCGCCGCTCCGGCCGCTCGATCTGGACCTTGACCCTTCCGAATCATCATCAGACGCCGGACAAGCAGCGGCCGCTGCTGCTGCCGCGAATGCGTTAAGATTTCCGCGAAATCCGAGCAAATTGTCACCGCCGAAAGGCATAATCGCCGGCGCCGGCGCCGGGCGTCTTGGGATCGCCGATCGTGGAGCGACCGGAACTGGAATAACCGCCATCGGCAGTGACAGCCTCTGGTAATCAGTCGAATCAGGAGCACTAGAGGTCGGAAAGCTTTCCCCGAGAAGGTCATCGAGAGCGGAGAAGAAAGGCCAGGGGCTGACGTAGCCGGCACCGGGAGTCGATTCCGAAACCCTAGCCTTCTCGAGTTTGTACTTCTTCTTCAAGGTGTCGATCCGGTTTTTACACTGAACGTCGGTGCGGTATGGCTGCGATTTGGCGGCGGAGACGTTTCGACCGGTGTTGAAGTGACGGTCGTTAACGGCGTTAGCCACCTCTTGCCAGTGCTTCTGACGGAGATTACCGCGGCTAAGATCGACGTAGCGACCGCCCCAGGCTTGGATGAGCGTGAAGGTCGCTTCCTCGCTCCAGCAATCCTCCCGAGAGAGCGTCGACGGCGAAGGACGGTAAGATCCCGGCGAGAAGGAGTCGTTAACGGCGCTCATCATACGGTTAAAGACGGCAAGTTAGATCGGAGAAGATGAACGGTGAGGATGAGAGAAACAGAGGTGGACGGTGACGGTAACGGAATTGAGGAGGACGGAGGTTTTTTAAAAAACAAACCAGCAGCGTTTTGCTTTGTGTGCATGTACTAAGCCGTGAGCAAGCTAAACGAGTCAGCCACAGCTAATTTATATATTGTCTAATTAAAAATTAAAAAATATAATGTTGGTATCCGCTTAATTTATTGATCATTTCAGTATATTTTTATGGAAATAACATGTGAGAAACTTTGTAAAGTTTATTAGTTCTAATCAAATTTGATTATGTTCTTCTTTTTTGGGTAAAAAATTTGATTATGTTCTGGTGTCATTTTTTTCTATGTGTTAACACGTTTACTTGTTATAGTTTCTTAAGTTTTGTCTATTTTGGGTTGGTTTTTATTTTACAATTTTTGTTTGTTGACGTTTCCAATACCACGATAAAGTTTATTCGTAATATTTAAATTCAATCAAAAAGATAAATGAAATAACCCATCAATTTGTGAAACCTTGTTTCAGTCATGTTTTTTAACATTTTCTTCTCACAATGTAAGATTGGTTTGGTTATATGAATGATTTGGTTGATATTATTCATTTTTTATCTAGTTTAATGATTAGAATATACGGTTTTAATGGTAAAAAATGAATTGGTATCGACCCTAAATAGTATGAGTATGTCAATGGATTATTTTAACCATGGTGAAAGTTTGTGAAACCGTAGAGGAAAATCAAGGTTATTAACTCATCGGATATGATTAGTTGGATGTTTGGTTTAATTCTCTTTTTACATCCACATAATGCAATACTACTATACTAGAGTCAAGTATAATTTGATAAAACTATTTTTTTTTTTTGCTAAGCCATTATATAAAAAGATTGTGTTTTATGTTTTTCTTTTGATTTAGGTGATAAAACTATTTTTTTTTTGGTAACACAAAATGCGGTTAGAACCTTACAGTTGTCTTAACATTTAAAAACATCCTTTTACCTTTTTCGCAGGTGTTTGTCTCTTCATTTCCAAATATTTTGTCTACATTTTAAACAGAAAACTAAAACCGACAAAAAATAGTACACTTTTTCTTTGCCCATCAAAATAGCTCTTTTCTCACTTTTTTATTTGAGGCAATGAATAGTAAACGAACATATGCGTATTTATTTCAAAGATGAATTCCTCGCCTCTGTGTTCATTGCAAATGCAATGCAACGCAAACCTTATGGGCTTACATTCTTCTTACCTAGCCACAGTTAGATAATTAATCAGAGACAGCTCCACGTGGACGTATGAATACGAAAAAAGAAAAGAATTGAATAAATTTGCTTGATCAAATGCAAATTAAAGCAGTGAGCGAGAGTTCTCACTTTGTAGCTTCAAAAGTCTACTTTTATATATGATTTTTTTTAAAGGTTCTGATTTCAGTAATTTGCAATGTTAAAACGGAAAACCGGAAAAGAGTTCCACAAAGCTTTTTGTGGATATGAAAGCGCCAAAGTTCTTTTGTACAAACTCAAAGAAGAAAGCCAACAAAAATATTCCAAAAAAAAAGAAGAAGAACCCTCTTCTTGCTGCAAAGTTTCTTTCTATTCACAGAAGGAAAAAGATTCGAGAGAAGTTAGCAAAGCGAATACTCGCAATCTAGCAAACGAGAAAGTATCTCATTGCAGCTCGGTCTTTGTTCCGGTTCTGTCCAACAATCTGCAACACAAGAAAAACAACATTCCATAAACCCAAAAAGAAGATTCAGGAACAAAGAAACAAAAAAAATAACACTGAGAGAAGTCACAAGACCTGCAATAAGCTTTCCCAGTGGCCCTTCAGGAATCTCAAGCCGAGCTCCCTCGTAAGCAATCGCATAAACAACCTGAGAAATATGCAGAAACTAAGTTATACTTATATGTATGTACATAATAATGCTTAGTTCCTGAATATTATTATTACATACCCGTTCAGGTGGTACTCCTTCCCAAGGTCTGGTTAAAGTGCAGAGTTCCCACATAATTACACCTAAGCTGAAGATATCACACTTTTCTGAGAAGGGTTCATTGCGGATAAGCTCAGGAGCCATCCACTCTGGAGTTCCTGCAGAGACTGCGTCTCTCATCGTCGTGCCTGTCATTATCCTCGACAGCCCAAAATCGCATATCTTCACTGTCCATTTGTTGCTCAATAGACAGTTTGCGCTCTTTATATCACGGTGTACTATCCCCATCCGGTGTATGCACATCAACCCCCTTCGCAAAAAAATTATATAGATTATTTTGTTACTACAAATTGAATATGAAACTTCCTCCTTGGGACTTGTGTTAGAATCATGAAAGATTGAAATTACCTGCAAATGTCACGCAGCATTTTTAGCTTCCTCCGCCAGCTTAACTTCTTCTTTTGTCCACTCGAATGGAGCATATAATACAAAGATCCCATTTCCATGTACTCAGTGATCAGCGATAACCGTGGAGGCTTTGTGCATGCTCCAAGGAACAGTATCACTACAAAAAGCCAAAGATGCCTGTTGATGAAAACTGATAATAAAAATCTTACAAATGAAAATTCAAAGGAATAGATGAGTACCGTTGGGATGTCTAAGCCGGCTGGTAGTTTGTTTGGATGCAGAAAAACAGGGCAGGAAAGAAAGTCAGAAAATTAGTCCAGACGTTATTGCTAAATTTGAATAAAAACAGAGAAAGTCTAAAGAGATACCTAAGAATGGATATCTCATTGCAGAAATCTTCCATGTTCTCAGCTGTAAGGTCTTGCTCAAGGAACACTTTGATCGCGACGTCTGTTCCATTCCAGATCCCACGAAAGACTTCTCCGAAAAATCCTGGAAGGATTATCAGTAGAGAAGTTTTAGTTGGGTGGCTATTACAAAAGTAGACTTTTGATGACAAAGCATTGAACTAAAGTTCCTTACCAATCCCGACACGAGTCCCAACCGTCAACTCGGAGAAGTCGATGTTCCATTCTTCATACGGTAGCAATGGCTTATTCTGGAACATGGGAGATCCCAATACTTTATCCCAGATGTGGCTTATATTCTGACGTGAGGATCCACTCCGTTCATATGATTCGCTTCGGTAGTTCTGGGGAGAAGACGGTAGTGAGATTGCTTTCTGTGGATCTAGTGGTTCTCTGGAAAGTGTCGACCTTCCACCAGAAACTTGATCATGAGCATCAAGATGGAAACCAGAGACCTAGAAGCAGAAAAGTCTAGTTAAGCCAAAATCCAAATTGAGTAAATGTTTCTTAGAATCATAACTCTAAGCATGTTGTAATATCAAACAAATAGCCACTTGAAATTGATTATTGTGCTTTGTTGAAACAGAAAATGGATGTCTTATTTTGATTTCCCACGGATCACAACACAGCACTTTTCTAGGACTTCTCATTTCAACATAGACGAAGAGAAAAGAGACATGGAATGCTATTGCACCCAAAGTTTCTTCGTTTTCAGGTTTTCTATGATTACTAGCTAACAGCGTAGCCAAATTTCTCAAAATATATTCAATGATGAATGTATTAATAAGCTTCACATATATGAATTTTTACGTACATTTTTCTCGAGATGAGGGCCCTCGGTTTTGTCATTTGGAGAATTAGGAGAGGAACCGTCATCACATTGCTCTTTTGAGAGGCGATTCTGCTTCAAGGCTTCATTCATCGCTCGTACTGCCCTGAAAAAGATTAGCAAGTAACTTTTAACAAGCTTTAGATATTTCAAAAAACCATCATATAAGCTTTGCCATGCACACGAAGTTCAACGAGACATAAACTAAATACCCACCTGACAATATCATCGCCAATCTCAGGAGTTATACTAATGCTTCTCCTCCTTATTCTCTTTGTTTCCAATTTCGCTCCTCCAACAGATTTGCTGCTGCACAAAATTTTATAGACCGTTAACTAACTTTAGGCACAAGAACTAAGTTATCTGATACCATGTTACTAAAGCAGAAACTAGACGAAAGAACTCGGTAAGCACAAAACCAGACACTAACCAAACACCATGACCTCATACAGTAATTCATGCATCCTTTTTAAACTGAAAGCTCAAATGAAATGTGCAACAACCTCTCCAACATGTATAAGATGCAAAGCAAACAAACCATAACCAACCTTGATGTGGAAACATCACCAGTGAAATCTCGTGCCAAGTTCGCATCGCCACTTAGCATGGACCTTGTACGTGTTCGGAAGGAAAGATTCTCAGGACTGCAGATGAGATATAGATAAAACATCTAAGAAATTAGAGAACTGGAATTATGAAGGATGAGGAAATCCAGACTCGAAATTAGTTGGTTTCAGAACGCATAAACATAAACAATTCAACAGGGATGAGAGTAACCTCGAACCAGCTGTCCTCTGATCAGCAATGACCTTTCTCCGGTTCTGCCGCCAAAACTCATTAGCCATGTTTGACTCGCTCTGTGAGAAGCTGGAGAATAGAAGATAATAATTTTGACATACAGTCATCTACACCATTCCTCCGTTTAAATAGAACATCAAACCTTGAGTTGGTTACCTCAAAAACATTATAAAACAACTAGGGTTATCACCTTAATTTTCTCTCTAGCGCGGAGGTAGATCGTAACAGCATATTCCTTGATGGTGGACCAGAAATATTTGGAGCCCCTTCCAGTTTCCTATGCAACAGAAGGTTCTCATCTTTTTCTGCACTGTACAACAACAATAATTAGAAACTCTGCACACCAAAACACTGAGTATTGAATAAATCGGTGGAGTAAAATATGGTACACCCATCACACATGCAAGTTCATGAAGTGAGATTAAACTTTTTAAATTCCCAATATCTACTTACTTTTCGTGGTCAGTTCGCTCTGGATAACCAAACATGGGACTGTTTGGCTCCAAAGGTGAATCGCAAGAGTCATTCTCTGCAGAATCACTTTCCCCTGCGGCTGAGACATGACTCATAAAAATTGCCTTGGTTGATAAAGGAATCAGCTGACCAGGAAATCGCATTAGATCTACCAGCATTTCCACAGAATTTAGCAGAACCGTAACAGAAATATGACTGTATGAGTCCACACTCTCAGCAGCTCCATCACTTGGCAAACCCTGTTGAACCCAAATGCATAGCACGTTTAAAGCTGGTTAGAATATTTGGCATTTAAGCCATGATGAATACTTTTTCTCGATAATAACCCTTTATTAAAACTAATCAATCACATTCAGAAAATGGGTGACACTCAAGATCGCTGATTAGATTTTAATTCTTACCACTACAAGCCTACTTTGAAGACCAACGGTATCAGCTAACACTTTAAACAGAAGTGCTCGAGGACGACAAGAACCGTGCTTGATCTGTCCTAGTAGTTGAATACCACAGTTTTCAAGTGATTGCGTAGTTTTTGCCGGGCTCTGCAGAGTTGATTGCTTATAAACATCTGCCACCTGCCAGAAAATTTTAACAAAGGTTTCCAGATAAATAAAAGGAGTAGATATGAAATGCTTACTCGTACTGCATCTATAACAACTTCCATGTTCCTTTAAAGCGTAATAAATGGATGCAGGAGAAAAGGGCAAGCAAACAAAGATAGGTAGCTTCCTAATTTAACACTTTTTCCAAGTAAGCACAATGCACAAATGGGAATAGAGAAAGAAAGAAACTAGAAAAGAAATTGATAGTCTCACATTTCGAAGAAAAAGAGACTTGCATTAAGATCACATGACTTCTATTTTAGTATTATAACGGACACTCTCAGCATCATTTTTTGTTAGACAGACAACTTGTCTCAACTCTTCCTACATCAGTTTAATCCATCTAAGATCAATACCATTGTATGGAGCTTTAAAGTAGAAAAACAGAATGGTAATTTAGTTAGTGCTCACAGGAAACAAATTTCGAGTATGTATTTTATAAAACAATAAAGATACGTTGCAGTTAGATTCCACTTGCAAATGAGATGATAAATCATGCAATGCCTCAAGAAATATTCTAAGATGACAAACCACTCTTACCAGTCCAGCAATTTTCTTAATGATAGTAGCCGGCTTTGAGTTCAGTCCACTGACAAGTTTTGTAATCAACTGCTTTTGCCTGAAAAGCTTTTTGTCTTTCTGAAAATCTACGAGAATAACATCCGCCTTTAGACCTTCGTCACCCAGAGCATGAAGATCGTCCAATGTAGGAATGCTATTAAATAGCTGTTTCAATCTATTATCCTGTAGAAAAATTAAAAATAAACACTGTGAAAGAGCCAAAGAAAGATTCTAGACTTGGAGGTAATGATTCTTGACAGGTAACACTGTTTTAATCGAGTTCGAATTAAATCTCACTGAAACGTTATTGAAGAGAGCTAATATCAACCAAAAGTAGCTTACCGGAATCACAGAATAGAAGCCATTTGGGATCGGCTCAGAAAGCGAACCAGTGCTCCAAAGAATATTTGACGCACTATTAGATGGCAGCCCATCCTGCCCAAGATTTCTGGGCGAGTTGTTATTACTAGAGGCCTCTTCTTGTGATCCTAGATAAACAGAACCAAATCTCTCAACAAATTCTGAAGGCCACCAGTTCTCAGAGGAAGGTCCTTCCTCTGATGGCCCAGCATCATCTCGAGTCTCTCCCATTTCCAATTTCCTTGAGTTCTAAGATTATGTCAGCCCCTACTTATCCCATAAAAGAAGGAAATCTTAGAGATTATTGAAGCAAACTTCATTTACCAGTAGCCTTTAAGGTGGAGGTCATTCGATCTGCATACACAGAAACGAAAATGGTAAATTAAAAGTCAGATAGTAATCGAAAAAAATGGAAACAGAAAGGGCAGAGTTTATAATGCATTTACTTGAAGGATTTACATACATAGATACACCTTAAAGAAACAAACTAGTTGCAATTGTTTCCTCACATCAAAACCTAACTAGTGCAATGCCAAACAGAGGAAACTATCAAACTTTCTCCACTTCAACAATGGTTGCATTAGTCACACTACTAGACTTTTGATGCGTGCATCTAAAAGACCAGCGTTTGTCTCAAACGATTGAAGCTATTTCGTTCTCTTCAGAGTCTAAGGGGAAAAAAAAAATCTGAAGGATCAAACCTAAACTTCTGATTTTACCACAAAATATCACACTGATGCATAAACTGATTCATCATGACATCATCAGCCAAAATACAAAACGAGAAGCGAAGACTATCAGCTTTCCAAATAGAACAATTGAATTCACTATCATGATCCAATCTCACTCTTAAGTCAACTACCGAATCTTAAATGAATCCTAAATTGAAAAGAGCAAACCAACTTAGATCCCATGAAAATCTAAATACCACAATTCTCCATGAATTTACTCCATAATATAACAGTTGACAAATGCGATCCCGTTCGATCTACCCAGAGAGTCAGTTTCTACGCGAAAACAATCCTAACGCAAAACCAACCAAATGAATCACAATTTCAGAGAACAAACAAAGAGAGAGAGAGAGAGGTTCAACAAGGGTTTTTGTAAAATCACCGAAATCAGATCTACGAATCAATTTCCGATCGAACTCTGGATTGAAGAATATACGAAATCAAACTGCATAAAACAACAAACACGATCCCACTGCGAAGAGAGATGCAGTAGAAATCCCGATCAAAGGCAACAAAAAGGAGCTATGCGTTTCTGTACACACATAGAAACAATCAGAGAGCATATGCTTTCATAGAACTGGGAAATTGGGATATTAAATAGTTTTGATCTTTGTTATTTGAGGGACCAAAAAAAGTGAGTGATCGGGATTTTAGGAAAGTGATGAAGACGAGGGAAAGGAGAGGAACAAGGAGACGACTGACGAAGTGACGATGGCGAAGTCACGTGCGATATGATGAGTCACGTGTCAAAAAGGAGATGCACCTCTCCCCGATCGACAGCTGGTATCACACGTCACCCCTCGTGAATCACCACCGTCGCTTCTTATTGTTTTTTTGATTGGTGGTAAATGGTAATCTTATGCAATTTTGAAAAAGTGGTTGTCATTTATTTTTTTAGGTAAAATTGTAATAGAGAGTTTTATAAGAAGAAGAAAATTAGAAGTTCTAATTTGGAACATATGTTTTTTTCTTAGATCTATTAAAAATGAGATGTTCTCCGTTCAGTGAATGGATTGGCCTTAATTGATCAAACTACAAATGTATAAATAAATGTGGATTTGTTTAGAAGTTTGAAATTTTGAATAAAGAATAACCAAAAATTGAGAAGCTATTCTTCATTTGTCCTCCTTCCAGTTTTTATTTATGATAAATCCATAGATATTTAAATTCTTATCATATATTTAATATATTTTCCCTATTACAATTTTGTTTTTAATAACAAAATTGTTTTGTTTGTACATCACAACATATAATTTTTTGGTACAAAATATATGAAAAATAGTTATTGTAAATTTTTCCAAAAAAATGAAGGGAGAAGAAAAACCAAAGTGTTTTGTGACTTTATCATTTACTATCGACACCTTGATTTTCGATAAATATCAATAAACGTATAATAAATACTGTAAATTGTTATGTTGTTATGTTATATTCTACAATAATCAAAGAGATTCTGTGAGAGCGTAGCTGAAAGTTTTCAAGTCTTGAGGATTGATTTTATCGAGAAATGCTAAGATAAAAGTTTAATATGGTAAATCCACTCATATGTAGAGCAATATGGCGGACCCATTCACTATATTTTACTAGAAAATTATGTTGCAAAGTTTATATAATAGGTGTAAAAACACTCATACATACATTTAAATAGCAAACATATAAAATTGACTTTGAATAGCAAACATTTAGAATTTGAACAGCAAACACTTAAAATATAACTGTATGCACACTCATACAAAATTTCCGTCTTCTATGCCTTTTACCACTCAGAATTTGCACATTTGGACATTGCCTCAAGATTCTGGTTGTTGTTGCATAGCAAATATCAGTATTGCAACATTTAATAGATTGCAATCAGCTTCTTTAAACCAATCTAAACAAACTGTGAACTTCTATCATCTTTCACATACGAATTCAGCAGCTCCACAATCAACACTAATAATTCTTCATTATTAACCCATAATCAAAACCTACCGAGAAAAAACTAGTATTATGAATTGCCTTTTTTATTTAGGTGTAGGTTAAATTGAGGTTAAAAGTTAAAATTATGTATTTTCACTAGGGTTGTGCCAAAACTGAATAATTTAAGCAAAAATAATATTGTTAATCAGAATTCAGAGATTACTTGCTTCATTCAGATAATTTTAAAACCAGGACAAAGCTTCTAAAACAACCTACAACGACCGTTTTAGAACGCCAACAGAGAAAAGATCACAAACTAAATCATCAACCAGAGCAGAAACTATCTCTCCTTCTATATCAATGCCTTGCTCAAACATCTCTCTCTCATAACCAATCCATCTCCCTTCAAAACAGCTCATGTCATGATCCACAAGCTCGTCGATCATCATCTCTCTCATCTTCTTCAACACTTTAACTTCTCTGTTCAGTTCCTCAGCCAACAAAACCCCACCTCTCGTCACCATCCCTTTGCCGCTTCCGATCAACATCCTCTCAAACTTCACCGCTAAGCACTGATTCACACAGTCGAAAAGCACCTTTCTTTCCATCTTCATCGACGTTTCAGCTCCACGAGAGCGTTCCATTTCATCAAAGAGGCTCGAAGGTAACAACAGTTCCTCAGTGGTTGTCCCTGAGGCTAAGTCTTGAATCATGAGCTGGCCAGAGTTTAGGATCTCGGTTATGTATTCAAGCTCCCAATCCACTGCGGAGTCTGTTTCAGGTAAGGTTTGTTGGGACTCGTTTGATGAAAACCAAGTGAGCTCTTGCTCTGATGAACTCTGCTTCATCCCTGAAAAACTCTTGCTGCAGGAGAGTGCGAGATCATCGGCTTCTGTAAGAGTGCTGATGCTGCTAACTTCATGTTCTTCTCCCTGTGTTATCATCATCTTCTTCTTCTTCTTCAAGATCAAAAAAAAGGACAAGATTTTATCAGAGGCTGGTAAAGCTATTAATAGAACAGTGAAGCTACATGTTACGGAAACTAACCTGGAATGTCTGGCTGTTATAGACTGAAGTGCAGTCAGAAACAGATTCACTCTCTGATAAGACTTTATCAAGACTGCTTTGAGTCACTCTATCCTTTGAAATGGAACTCAAAGACTCTTCTTGGATCAAGCAAGAGCTAGATGATTCCATCTTGGAGGTCAATTCTCTTAGCTTCTGCTCCAAAAGCGCATTTAAAGAATCGTCGCCTATCACATTGAACTTAACAGCAGAGTCTGCATCTTTCTTGGTTCCTTGTGAAAGAGATGACAAACCTTTGATCGAAGATGAGAATGTGAAAGAGATCACATCCATGTTTCTTTTCTGATCGTCTTTACTCGTGGTGTTCGAGTCGCCATCAATGGAAACGTTACATTTTATCGACTTCTCACCTCTTTTGATCCGCTTATCTTCGTAGATTCCCGGTTCTTGCACTCCATTACGAGGCTTTTTGCTTCGAGGAAGGCTCTTTTTACCACGGGATGAAGGTAAAGAAGTGGATTTTTCTGCTGATGACATAGTAAAACTCTGGCTCTTTGATGTAGATCCACTTTCCACAAGAACCTTATTCACTACTTTGTTCAATACTTTCCTGGATTGTTGTTGGTTGTCTCTGCAGTTCTGTTTCTGATTGTTCTGCTTAAGCACATTCTTCCCTGTGCTCAAGGAAGATCCTTTGAGACTGTTTTGGCTTTTAACCGCTCTACTCTTAGCTTCAGCTTTCTCCTTTTGTCCCAAAGCCGTCCTCTTGTTGCCGCTTGAGGACGTTGTTTTGCTGTCTTGCTTCTGATTACTGCTGGTCTTCGCTTGCGCTGAGAAAGATAGTAGCTTCACTTCACCAAACAATGTAGCTTTCTTCTCGCTTTGATCTCCTCTTAGGTACTTGCTGTTACGAGTATCATTTGACATCTGAAGGAATGAAGTCGAAGCTTTCTGTGCAGCCTCTAGTTTCTCTTTCAAATCACGAATCCTCAACGGAACCGGGGAAGAAGAATCAGACGATGAAACAGCCCTTGTTCTTGCAATCATCCGTGGACTTGGCTCTATCATTTTCGAAGCAGCTTCCATCACATAAGCAGGGCTCCTAGATGGAACAAATCCAGGGTTCCTTATAGGAGACAAGAGCTTGTTGTGAGTGACGGAGATCGGTTTAGCTGATCTTGGAGGTAAGGTTTCGGTTTGAAACCGCTCAATCATCCGCTTATGTGGCCCTTTACTCGTTCTTGAATCCAAATGATCCCAAGAAACACCACTAAAGTCATCACTCTGATTATCAGTAGTGTTCGCCTGGCGAGAGGATCTGAGAAAGTATGGATCAAGAACAGGATTAGCCCTTGGCTCCACGTCGTTTGGCAACGGTATACACTCTAAGCCCATGAGCCTCGCCACCACACTCGGTGCTCTAACCACGTTTCCATCATCGCTAGTCACAGAGGAAGCACAACAGCTCGAGTCACTTCTCGGCGGGTGGTAAGTTGAGTTCTTTACAGTCTGTTCAACCTCAGACTGTTATAAACAGATCACACAATCAGCTAATGTCACTCACTAATCACTATACACTAAACAATGTAACATTTTCATCAAAAGGGTATTGAGAAAAGGGCTTACAACAGAAGGCCGTGTAATTGAAGGGTTCTCTTTTGCTTGCTTTGAATCTTCTGTTTACAACCAAATAATAAACTTTATATTATTGAACTGCATTTACCAAATATACAACAGACATTCGCTTATAGAGAAAACAAAAAAGGAAGAAGACATACCAGAGAGTTGGGAGGTGTTGGATGAGAAAAGCTTCTTCCTGGACTTTCCAGGCCAATCAAACAGATTTAGAAACGTTCCTCTAGGTCTCTTTCTCTCCACAACATCCATCTTATTTCACCTATGGATCACAACAATTTCAAATCAATTTGAATGGAATGCATTTATAAAGACGCCGGATCCAGTCAAAATAGCATCAGAAAAAAAGACCCAAATTTTGCAAAGTGATTATAATAAAGTATCCATTTTTAATCTGAAGGATATAGAGAGACTGATAGTTATAAGAGAAGATCAAATGAAATTTTATCAGGAATGACAAATTTTACCTCTCAGGATGCGAAAGTCCTCAGCTTGTACTTATGGATCCATCCATTAACCTTGTATAAGATAATCAAATTCTGCGAAATTTGTAGGTGTCTACGCTCATAAGATTGGAGCAAATCCAATCGGAAGTTCTGGCCCTGAATGCGACAAAAGCCCTGCACTTTTGTGTTCTGTCGGACAAAAGAAGATGAAACACAGAGAGGGAATAATCGAATCAGAATAGAGAGAGAGAAGATATGGGATTTTTGCGAAATGGGTCAGATCAGGAAAGTTCATACAGATTTGAGATTAGGGGGCTTTTGAAATTTGAGATTAGTGATTTAGCTAAAAGAAGTGTAGAAGCAGCAAGAGACGTTAAAAAAGGAAGAGACAAGCTGAGTTTGAATTGAAATGACGACAGAGTGGAGAGAGCCGTTGAGAGTGAGAGAGAGAGAGAGAGAGAGAGAGAGAGAGAGAGAGAGAGAGAGAGAAGGCGAAGAGAGTTTTGAATTTTAGGAAGTTGAAAGCTCTCCTTTGGGAAATTAAAAGTGTCGCCTTTTTTTCTACACATCAAAAGGAAATAGTTTTCTATAAAAGATTTGGCTTTTTTTTGTTTATACAATGATTGATATATACAGTAACAAGCTTGATAATGTTCATATTTAGCATCCAATGAAGTCAAACTTGTTGTTATATGAATGGAAATATGTGCACGTTTCAATTTCTACTTTCTAGTTTCAAATGTACGAAGATTTTGAATTTGGTTAGGGGACAAAGAAACACAATTTTTAAAAGGTCATAACGTTTCAAAATTTTCAGTTGAAGAAGAAAATAAAGGCAACAACTTTATAGTAAACAGCGCAGAGTGTATTGATATATACAGTAAAAACTCTATAAAGTAATAATGTTGGGACTTTGATATTTTATTACTTTAACGAGATTATTAATTTATCGAGAGATAAATAGACCAAAAACTTAATTCAGGACTCAAAAATTCTACTCATTTATCGAGGTATTACTTTATCGAGTATTACTTTTTAGAGGTTCTACTGTATATGCCATATGTTAATCTTTTTTTAAGTTATTGGGCATTAACGAAATTAAATTTGGGAATCACAAAATAGATTTTTGGGATTCACTTTCGTATAGTTTGAATCCCTTTGGATATTTGTAGTACTGTATACAGTATACTTATTTGGTTCAAACAATTCCACACAATGTTTTATAAAGAACACATATCTTGAAAAATTAAACGAAAAAACAAACATAGCTAAGGACTTTTCTTTTCATCTAAGGTATCAATATCAACCAAAATAAAAAACATCAAATTATATTTAAAAGTTGTAAATTTTGATAATAGAAAACAAGAAACAAAAATGTGATATGGTTATTAATGTAATTACTTGACAAAAAAACAGAAAAAGAAAATTCAAAACTTTGAGTTTGAGTTAATGAATCAATCCGTCACTCCTCAGTCACATTTGGAATAAGGTTTGACAAAATGGAGGTAATTATAATTGAGGGAGCATTGGATTACTTCAGGACACACATTCTTCACTAGAAAGAAACATCTGATCCAACTTGGTTCTTCTATGTACGCTTCTCCTCTATTAATACCTTTGAATATATTCTTCGCGCATCTACCCACCGATTCCGAGAGAAAGAAATCTGAACCGTACTATTCAAGAAACAAAACATATAATTATAGCTAATATATCAATCGAATTATAATAAATGAATAACTTATGCTGAAAATTGTAAATAATTGGATGGTTTATATATTTGTTTGTGGTATAAAAATATACGTAGACTCTACTTACTCTTTTTACAAATTCAGGAGTTGACATATCTGTGGCGATAGCCCCAGGAAGAACAATTGTTACTTTAACTTCTGGATTGAGTTCAACCTTCAATGCTTCAAAAAACCCTACCAGTGCTGCTTTGCTTGCCTGTATCAATTACCAATTAACATCACCATGATCAGTGACTTAACGATATGATTAGTATTGGTATTATTATTCTTTATCTAGTAAATAAGAGAACAATATGAACTTACTGAATATACAGCACACAAAGGAATAGGTATCTTTGCTGAAGCTGAAGTAGTGACAATGATTTTTCCTTTGATCTTTCGAAGATGCGGAATTGCATAATAAGTTATGTATGCTGCACCCCAGAAGTTGGTATCCTTAAGACACATAACGTAAATTAAGTATGTATATTAGTCAATATACATTTGAAATAGGGAGCTTCTTCGATTTTTTTTCACTAATTTTGCAAAACATAATAATACAACAGCTGGCTTCAATCTTTTCTCAAAACATTATCTTTATATCACATGACAATCTTGGAGACGGAGAAATTGAAAATTTTACCATTATACGAGTAGCGTCTTGAACTTGAGATAAATCCTCGAACAAAATGGATTGATTTACACCAGCATTATTAACTAGGTGATCCACTGCCAAATTACGATTACACTCAATAAGATTAATAGCCGTCTATAATTCAATAAATCACCTAAATTTTTATATATTTCCTTATTTTTCTACTGTATATATATAGGAGTTGAGTACTTACATTTTCCAAAATGAAGTATAGTCTCGTCGATGAATTTTTTGCAGTCATTAACATTTCTAACATCACCAGCTATGACGATGACATTAGGAGATCCTAATTGTCTTGATTTCTCGGCTACCATTTGTAGAAGATCCTCGCTTAGAGTTAGAGCAACCAAAGCTAGTTGCGCTCCTTTCTTTGCGTATTCGTATGCGAGATGCTTTTTTTTTTTTACCAGCAAAGAAAAGGTAAAATAACATGTAAATCACATGCTAAGTCCGAGAAAATGAAGAAATCAAGATTTATTTTTCCATTTTTGAGATCCAGAAGTTCCAGGCTTAGATCTTTAACTTAGATAAAGCCAAAAAATAAAGAATGATAGCAAAGCTAACCTCTCCGATGCCGGAGGAAGCTCCAGTGATGAGCACTACTTTCCCTGCGACATCTTCAATGCAAATATGCTTACGAACACAGTTCAGAAGTTTGAACAAAAGATAAATCGGGTAAAAGAAGAAGAGGAAGGTGAAAGTGAGAGGAGGAAGAAGAATATTGAGAATGATGTTAATCATATCCATAGCTGCTTATTAATTTGCAGGACAACAACATCAACGTTTTATATCTAAAACTTCTTTTACATGATAGTGATTTCTTAAACTTTGTGCTTTGACGTGAAAATCCTTGGATTTCGTAAGTTATTAATAAGATAATGTCATGTCAGAGAAACATGTGGGAAACAGATTATGGTAAGATGCTCAGAGATCATGGTAATAATTCAAGTTATAATTAATTACTTATATCTTTTTTTTGGGCGACATTAATTATTTAATTACTTATATCTATAAGTAAAAGTTTGTACATCGTTTGGTAAAAATACATTTAATTCTCCGATACTGGGGTACAAAAAAGGATAAAGCCCAAAGGGCCGAAAGAAGTTAGGCCCATTAATTCTCAGGGAACAAAACCATTGATAAATCCTGAAATCAAAGCCATCTTCTGTCTTCCTCTTCCTTAAACCCTAATTTCCCTCTTGCAAAATCTCTCTCTCTCTCAATGACCACCGCCGAAGTCTCGCCGCCGCAGCAGCAAGAGCAGCTTGTTTCCGGTTTGCCGACTTCAAGAGTGAGTCCCAAGACGGTGGACGGCGCCATCAACGCCCTGCTCAAATGGAGAAGCGAGAAATCGAAGACGGAGAAGCCTCAGCTTCTCGAGCAAGACGAGTTCGTCTACCTCGTCGTTACCTTGAAGAAGATCCCACAGACGAACCGCACGAACGCTTACCGCATCCGTTTGCCTCACCCTCTCATCGACACGGCGGAAGATTCGCCTGAGCTTTGCCTCATTATCGACGACAGACCTAAAAGCGGTCTCACGAAGGAGGACGCGATGAAGAAGATCAAATCGGAGAACATCCCGATCACCAAGGTACTCAAGCTCTCGAAGCTGAAGGCGAATTACAGGGCGTACGAAGCGAAGAGGAAGCTCTGCGATTCCTACGACATGTTCTTCGCTGACCGGAGAGTGATTCCTCTGCTTCCGAGGTTGATCGGGAAGAAGTTTTTCGCGACGAAGAAGCTCCCGGTGCCGTTGGATTTGAAGCACAAGAACTGGAAGGAGCAGATGGAGAAGGCTTGTGGATCTGCCATGTTCTTCATGAGGACGGGGACGTGCTGCGTTATCAAGGTTGGGAAATTGTCGATGGAGAGCAACGAGATTGTGGAGAATGTGATGGAGACTTTGAATGGAGTCGTTGAGATCTTGCCTAACAAGTGGAAATACGTTAGGTCTTTGCTTTTGAAGCTCTCCGAGAGCTTGCCGTTGCCTATTTACCAGGCTGTGCCTGATTTGAAGCTTAAAATCGAAGGTTTTGAAGCGGAGAAGAGTGATGTTGTTGAGGAAGAAAAGGAGGTAGGTGAAAGTGATGATGTTGTTGCTGCTGTTGATGAAAGTAGTGAGAAGAGTAAGGGGAAGAAGAAGAAGGGTAGGATTCATGAGGTTAGGTATATGGATAGTGATGTAACGGAAGTGCTCGATGAGGATGAGATTGGTGCTGATGTTGAGTTTAGTAACGAGGTTGTTGTTGAGTCTGGCGATAGTGCGAAGAAGATGAGGATGAGGAAGAGGAAGAAGGCGGTCACTGAGGTTGCAGAGGGTGAGAAACCGGTGAAGAAAGTGGCCAACGGGAAGTTGAAAGAGAAGAGCCCGGTTGCTGCGTCAAAGCCGGTAGAGAAGAGCAAGACTGCTGCGTCAAAGCCTGAAAAGAAGAGCAAGGTTGCTGCTTTGAAGCCGGAAGAGAAGAGCAAGGCTGCTGTGTTAAAGCCGGCAGAGAAGAGCAAGGTTGCTGCGTCAAAGCCGGAAACGAAGAGCAAGGTTGCTGCTTTGAAGCCGGAAGAGAAGAGCAAGGCTGCTGCTTTGAAGCCGAAAATGACAAAGGTAACGAAAGAAGAGTCTGGTGGTGGTTTGAAACAGAGGAAGAAGAGTGTGCTTAAGAAATGAGACAATGGAAGTGTTTCTTTGCTTCTTCTCAGTTGAGTAATTTTGAGTATGGTTTTATGTTTTATCGTAGTGCTGATTACATTTTGGCGTCTTTCATATTTTGTGCTGCTTCTCTGAAACATTGAACCAGTGAATGTGGTTTGGTGGTTTTGTGGAGTAAAGATACTACTGTTACCATGTTTTTGAGTTTTTCGTATTTAACTTTCTTCGTTATAAACAACAAAGAAGGGTTTAATTTTACCATGTTTATCTTGAATTATTGCTATAAGCTTTGATCCATCGAGTGACGATGTACTTGCATGATCTTCAATCTTCGTTTCTGCGCAAATGGCTCACAAAAGGTCTCGTAACCATCTAGAAGGAGGTCTCTCATGGCTAATGTGTTAGCCATAAGAACATTGAAGAAAAGGCTAAGGAGATTAGTGAAGATATAAATTTATGAATACTAAAGATGACAATGTTTGTGAGCAAATGTTTATGTAGACAAAAGAATACTATAATATCAAACTAGTGAAGTAATCGTAAAGATGTATGTAGTAAAACATTATCATATAATGAAATAGGCTGATACTCGATTGTGGTCACAAATATGTAAAGAACCTCTTTGACCACAAAGCAGCAAAAGCCTCTGAATGGGTTTCACCAATTTATTCTCCTGATGATAAGATGCTTCCTTCTGTCGGCTCTTTTACTTATATGCTTGAAATCTCTTTTTATGAACTCATTTCCTAATCACAGGACCTCTGTACGGAACTCTCCATATCACAAAGTTATCTGGAGGTTGATACTCTTCCAGCCATGTCACGTTTGAGATCACTTCTCCATTCATCACTTCAATCTCACCTGGTTTCACAGATCACATCATCATCAACAACATTGCCATAGAGTAACAAATGATAATCGTAAATCCGTGTGTTCCATGATATCTGCATTTAGAAGCTTATCTAACCAAGAACCTACAGGTGTAACCCATGATTCCTCAACATATAGTAGCCTTTTAAGCGAATTAGTCATAAAGTGGCGTCTTAGTTGAGCTTGTGTTACTTTACCAGGTAAATCTCGTATAGGGGATTTGCGGAAGTAGTTGCAGTGTCTGCCATGAGTAGAAGAGTACGGAGGAGACAAGATGTCGAAGATTGCGCAATGAGTAATGGCTTTGAAACAATGGATGTTGCCGCCGGAAGTTGGATATAGCGTGGTTGCTGGGCAAGGGGCAGTCATATCAGTATCCTTGACCAGCTTCGCGGGTCTTGCTATGAATAAAACGGGAACAGTAGAGATTACTCAGACAAGTGCTTTGAAAAATGATTACCATAATGTTACGGATATTACAAGAGTTATAAATGTCACTATTACCTTGCAATGGATCGTCTAGCTCTGATGGGTCAGACTCAGCCCAATCATATGACTTCACGTGCATTGAACCGTAAACGAGCTTGCTTAGCACTGTCATGCCTGGATGATTATGAAGTGGTATGATAGAAGAAGGTGGCATGCAGAAAATCCCAATCTGAGCAAAATAATGACCAACGCATAAGCAGACAAGAAAAGCAATAAAGTGGAAATAGTAATCTCCTTCAACATGAGAAGCCTAGCAGAGGCATTTCATACTAATTATGCACTTATTTGACCACATTGACTAAGAGATACTCGAAAAGGTAAAAAAAACTGCCCGCACTATGGAAGAAAGTTAACTCACCGAGAAGCTGTCACACTCATGTAAATTAAGATACTTTATTGCTGGCAGAGAATTATGGTTTCCATTACGCTCGTTCCCAGGACCAGGCCAGTTACGCACCAATTGAGCTTCCTGTTCCAGTCCTACATCAGACGGCTTGATTTTCTCTGAAATCAAACATAAATTCACAAGTATCACGTACGGCTGCAAGTACTAGACCGGACCAACAACAGTAGACCCCAAAATATCACTGCAATTCAGACATCATGAGCAAAAACAGTGTGCCTAAAGAACATAAGAAACTTAAAAACGTAGTCGTACCCAACATATTGCGAACCTTGTCTAAGGCCTCCTCAGACACAGGTCCATTAGGAGAGAGAGATGCCTTGCAAGTATTGAAAAGCCTCTGAATATAATACGGCATGATACACAAAGAAGACAGCTTCTTGAGCTCCTATGAATGGGAAATGTCTGTTTTCCAGTTTCTGAAATATTATGGCAAACGAAACAGTGATGATCACCTTCTTCAGTGATTCTCAAGCACTGCCCTGAAATAAGAGAGAAGACTACAACTTCAACTTCATGTAGAAAGTATACACACAAATCTGAAAACAGATAATTACAAATCCAGGAGCTCTCTGAGTCTCTGGCAGAGTGGATTTTATTGATGAAACTTTAACAAGTGGTTGATTGATTAACCTTTTCTTTGCACATCGAATTCAAAATTATTGCCAGGAATAGAATTTAGGTCAGTTGTTCTGCTTTAAACTGATTCGTAAATCGGACCGAATTGGATAAAATGGTACTCAACAAGTTCTCTCAATCAGAAACAAACAAAAATCAAAACCTCCGTTAGCAAAAACATTTCTCCAACGAGAGAAATGGAAGATTTCGAGTTGTTTCAGCTAGTATAAGAAGGAAAACAGCTAAACTAGCAGCAGGAGATAAGAGAAGACACGTGAATTTCAATTTCAATGATTAAAGAGAGATGGAGAGAGAGATAGAGAGAGAGAGAGACCTTTCGAGCAGAAGAGTGAAAATCCGAAGAACGGCGACGAAGAAGGAATCGGAGGAAAACGATGATGGAAATGGCTTAGTCGGAGGAATCAGAATTTCTCTCTTTTGCTTTGTGGGTCATTAGAAAACGTCAACACTCACTTTCTTCACCCTTACTTTTCAAATTAGTCAATTCGAACCTTTGCTTTTTTAGTTCGAATCAATTCCACTTCTTTCTCTCAATTTTCAGCTTATTTTAGTGGGACAAGAAGAAGGCCACAACAATCTACAGCTTTTTGTTGTTGCTGCTAATTGCTAATTAACTGTTACAACTTACAAATACAAATTGATACATTCCCTTACAAGGTATAGATGGAAATGACAAGTTTTTAAATGGCTTTGACTGGGTTTTGCTATATGCAATATGTAAATCTAAACATAATCTGGTATGATTCAATGTCAAACTTATGGTACACAAATGTCTCCATGTCTTCATCTTTTATCGGAGTTTCGCAATCCAACTTTTAGATCCTTATTTTGTTTGTTTCTCATTTGAAATTCATCAAGAGAATCCAAACTATAACTTTTTCATATAAGCAACAGGTGTAACTATTTTCATCATCTGATCAGTTTCAAACTTACCATTTTTCTTTTGTTTGAAGTTTTTTTTTCTTTCTTAAATCCTTTTGTACAGCTTTCATTGATGGAATGTGAGGAAATAAGAGATTTTTTATTGTAAAATGTATCAACTTTTAAAAGTAGGCTTCTAGATATCAAGAATATTCACTAAATTATGATGAAATTTTTAAATATCATACTTTAGTTTTAATCCAGAAAACTTGAAGTTCAATTGTTCAAACGGGCTTGTTCGGCCCATTGTCGACACTTGATAGAGTCTGCCTCAGTGACTCGATAAGATATTTTTAGCTGGGACCCGTATTGCTAGCTATTTACTAAATTACCCTCACTGAAAAAAATCAGAAAATATAAAATGCAATCGATCACAGCTTGGTCTAATTTATCTCGTCTCTCTCTCTCTCGCTCATTTCCTTTTATCCACGAAGAAAACCTAGAAGGCGGTTGAAGCAGAAAATCTCAAGAGAAAAGCCATGGCAGGAGTTGGACCGATGACTCAGGACTGGGAGCCGGTGGTGATCCGTAAGAAAGCTCCTAACGCTGCGGCCAAGCGTGACGAGAAGACTGTCAACGCAGCTCGTCGGAGCGGCGCCGATATCGAGTCCGTCAAAAAATGTTTGTTTCTTCTTCTTCTCGACCTCCGTTTCTTATTGATTCCGTCTGATTCGCCTTCGTATCTCATGCTTTGTGAGAAATTTTATCTGTTTAGGCTAGATTTGGCGATTGAGTTGAGTTTTATTCGGCTGTATATAGTTTCCTAGATTAGGCTTATTCGCCTTCGTCGCCAGTGGATTATTGTGATTTCTTATAAGGGATTTGTGTTAACGTTCTCCTTTATTGTGAATTGAATTCCGTTTCCAGCAGTAATAATTGTTGTGGTTTCTTACTTATTAGAGTGGATTTGTGCTAATTGATTTGTGTTAAAAGTCTCCTTGTTGATATATCTGGGTTTGATTAAGCCTCGATTACTTCGTTTCTTTCTAGGGAAACTTTATTGTTCAACATGGATTGACATAGTCATGGTTATTATCTAACAAGAATTGTTTGTATTTGATGAATTTAGTTAACGCTGGATCCAACAAGGCGGCATCAAGTGGCACCTCCTTGAACACAAAGAAGCTTGATGATGAGACTGAGAACTTAACTCGTGAGTGTATACTAATCTCTTGCACAATTGAATGTTGATTTGATTTATGTTATTAACAAAGAAATGGTAGTATATCTATCTCTGTATCCTGGACTGCAGTGTTTCTAGTTGTTGAACTAATTTACCATTCAATTATTGGCTTCTTAGATCCTTTCTTCTTGTGAATGATTTCTCCAGTTTGCATTGTTTAGTTAGTGGAAGTCGTTATACGTTTGATGCGTTATTGGGATGCTAAGAGCTGAAGCTATTTTATTTGTCCACCAATCACTGTCTTTCCCATTTATGTGCTTGGTTGATTAGTATGCTGATTATCTTATGTGTATGGTTTTGAAATCAGATGAACGTGTGCCAACTGAGCTGAAGAAAGCCATCATGCAAGCTCGAGGGGAGAAGAAGCTGACTCAGTCTCAACTCGCTCAAGTAATTTCTCTTCACTCTCTGACTCTCTTTCTCTCTATTCTTTCCTGTTGAAAGTAACTGGATTCTTGATAGCAATGTGATATGTTTCGGTTTTGTAGCTGATCAATGAGAAGCCGCAAGTGATCCAAGAGTACGAGTCTGGTAAAGCAATTCCGAATCAACAGATCCTTGCTAAGCTGGAGAGGGCGCTTGGTGCTAAACTCCGTGGAAAGAAGTGAAACAAGGTTTTAAAGGTGAAAGAAAATCTAATCGTGGTTTCTCTCCGGTTCATATGCTATAAGAACTTTCTATCTGTGCTTGGTTTAATGGCTTAGTAGAGATCTACGAGGAATGTTTTATGGTGTGAGAAAAACAAAGCTGTTTGGAACCTTTTGTCAGTATAAATAATCCGTTTGTTTTCTTTGCATCATGTCATGTCACAAATGAAAATCTAATCTCGTATTGTGATGATTGATCAAGAGCTTGTTCTACTATTTCTCTGGAGAATTAAAAGAAACCAACTTGTCGACGCGTACAAGTATTTTGAGTTATTTATATTTGGCTCCTTCGTTTTTCCAAATTTTAGACTACCTGCCAAAACATTAAAATCCTGACCTCATTTTCTGGACCGGAGAGGATAATAACAAATTTTGGGCTTGGATTACGTGTACGCGTGTCCTCATAAAGTCTGGGACTAAGCTGTACAAAATAAAAGTATAGGGACCAATTTGCAAGTTTCAGTGAATACATACATCCCTTCAACTATACCCGGCGCCACAAAACAAAGCAGTACAGTGTGAGTCAGTGAAGCTGACATTCACACACACTCACACACACTCACACACACATTTCACCAAACCCAAAGCTTTAAAATTATTCCTCTACTGTTTCAATTTCTTCTCCTTCTCCTGGGTGACATTTTCTAGGGTTTCAACATTTTCGTTTTTTTCTATTTCATTTCTGGAAACCTGGTAAAAGGGAAAAATGGAGACAGATGAAGCATACCAAAAGAAAGAGCGTGCTGCGCTTGTAGCCATTGTCGTTCTCGCTTGTCTTGCTCTGTCTTCTCTGTTCGTCGCCTTTAGCTACTACTGCTATATTCGTAACAAAGTCTCTAAGCGTCACAGGATTAACAAGAGTAAGTTCGAATTTTGATAGCAATTTCTCTATTTCGTCATCCTTCTGTAAATAGAAGGAGATTGTTCTTATCTTTACATGCATTTCTCGTTCTTACGCCATCTGCTTTCGCGGGATACTGAAATTTGGTTCTGCATAATCGATATCTGGAAGAAATGTTGAAGTATAATATTCTAATTAGGGTTTCATTTTGCTTTGGGTTTATTTCTTTTTTTCCTGATTTGGATTCGTTCTGGTTTTACCTGTGTATTTTAGAGTTTGATTGCGAGGAGAAAGGCGATTGTCAAAATCCACCGGATGTTACTGACAATGGGTTGCAGATTTTCACCTTCAAGCAGCTACATTCCGCAACAGGTGGATTTAGCAAGTCTAATGTGGTTGGGCATGGTGGGTTCGGGTTGGTTTATCGCGGTGTGCTTAGCGATGGGAGAAAAGTTGCTATCAAGTTAATGGATAATGCAGGAAAGCAAGGAGAAGACGAATTCAAAATGGAGGTTGTTTATTTTGAGCTTTGTTTTGTTTAGCCATTTTGATCTTTGCTTTTCAAGGTTAAGGTTTAAGGATCAATTTTTTCAATGTGGTGACAGGTTGAGTTACTGGGACGTCTGCGTTCACCGTACTTATTGGCACTTCTTGGTTATTGCTCTGACAATAGTCACAAATTGCTCGTGTATGAGTTCATGGCCAATGGCGGTCTGCAGGAACATCTCTATCCTAATAACAGTAAGCTCCTTCTTCCAGCAAATGTAACATAAATCTTAATTAGTGTGTGGAATGCTTGTTGGATTTGATAAAGCCATCTCTCGTTTTCTTGCAATGTAGGGTCTGGTTCTGTTCCACTGAGATTAGATTGGGAAACTCGGATGAGAATAGCTCTGGAAGCTGCAAAAGGCTTGGAGTATCTCCATGAACAAGTATCACCTCCAGTGATCCACAGAGACTTCAAGAGCAGTAATATTCTGCTGGACAGAAACTTCCACGCCAAAGTTTCAGATTTCGGTTTGGCTAAAGTAGGATCTGATAAAGCTGGTGGTCACGTTTCTACACGTGTGTTAGGCACACAAGGATATGTTGCTCCTGAGTATGTTTGTCTCTCAATCAAATCCGTTGTTCCAACTTTGTTCTTCAATCATTGAATATTAATACTCAATTTGTCATTATCTTGTGATAGGTATGCTTTAACCGGCCACTTGACTACAAAATCAGATGTGTATAGCTACGGCATTGTGCTGTTAGAGTTGCTAACCGGAAGGGTTCCAGTAGATATGAAGAGAGCTACAGGAGAAGGCGTTCTTGTAACTTGGGTACGTGTTCTTTCACAAACCGGTTTCATGTGACAATTTCTCTTCTTGTTTACTCTAATCTTGTGCTTTTTTTCTTTTCTCTCTGCAGGCTTTGCCTCAATTGGCTGATAGAGACAAAGTGGTAGACATTATGGATCGAACACTGGAAGGACAATACTCAACGAAAGAGGTTGTTCAAGTTGCAGCAATAGCAGCAATGTGTGTTCAAGCAGAAGCTGATTACAGACCATTGATGGCAGATGTGGTGCAGTCACTGGTTCCATTAGTGAGAAGCCGCAGGTCAGCTTCGAAGCTTAGTGGCTGCTCTAGTAGCTTTAGCTTGGCTCGGTCTCCTAATTCACCCGGTAAAGCAAGCGTCGGTTCTCAGTAGAATAAAATAAAGTGTGAGGCTTTTTAGATTTTATTTATGTACTACGGGATTTGTTATCAACAGAGTATAATGTAAACACTTTGAGTGATCAATCGTGGTACTTCACTAATTATCATCAAAACATTTTCGAATCTAAATAAATGCAAAGATATCTCTTCATTTTAATCCTGGACTGTTTGGGCACAAGTTGCAGCTCAAACCGGATATATACCGAAATCAATTTTAAGAACCGATTGATAGTTGGTTCGTCACGTGCGGGGAACGTGAGCTTGTGAGAAGGAGAAGGGTAAAGCCGTCATTTCAGAACTCGTGAATTTACTTAGAACCCTAGACACATTTTAGATCTAGGGTTTATATATTTTTGCTGCGGCTACATCTCCGTTTTCTCTTTCGATTCGCGCGTTTCCGTCAGCCGGAGGATTATCGCAACCCGAATCCCAAATGGTCCGTCTCAGTTATTTTGTGTTCATTTATTTTTCGCTCTTCCTGTTTCAAGTAAAGATGTGATGATTTTCTTCTTTTTTTGGGTTGAATCAGGCGTCAGAGAAGAAGCTATCGAACCCAATGAGGGACATCAAAGTGCAGAAACTTGTTCTCAACATCTCCGTCGGTGAGAGTGGAGATCGTCTCACCAGAGCCTCCAAGGTTTTTTAAAATCCATTTCTCTTTGCTATACTGATTCTGATTTCACTCGGTAAGTGACAGGTTCTAATCGAATTAGCTCTTCGATAATTTGTAGGTGTTGGAACAATTGAGTGGCCAGACTCCAGTTTTCTCCAAGGGTGAGTTTTCTCCTACTTGAATCAATCCCCTATTTCGTCTATCTCTGCATAACGTATAGTGATCTCGATGGATTTAGAAATTGAGTTCGGAGATGTTTAGAACGACCAATTAGTGTGTGAAACTGTGTTTCGAAGATCGATTAACTTTTCCAATCCAGAGTCGGAGATTAAGAATGATATGTTCTTAATCTGTGGTGTATATAGCTTCTCTTCTCCAAAATGATGATCTTTTTTACTGATTCTTCTTCATATAACACAGTAGCTATCAATTGTTGTCTACGTTAGTTCATAGCTTGCTTGGTAGCTATTTTGATTTTCAGCTTTTATTGGAAGAATTGAGTACTGAGTTTGTATCTCTTTTTGCAGCAAGATACACCGTTCGTTCTTTTGGAATCAGACGTAACGAGAAGATTGCTTGCTACGTGACTGTCAGGGGAGACAAGGCAATGCAGCTCCTTGAAAGTGGACTCAAGGTCAAAGAGTACGAGCTCTTGAGGAGGAACTTTAGCGACACTGGTTGCTTCGGTTTTGGTATTCAGGAGCACATTGATTTGGGTATCAAGTAAGTAGTCTCGTTCTTTCTCTAACACAAACATAAAACACAACTTGAGAAGATGGCTTTGTGTAATTAATGATCAATTGGGGTTTTTGATTTGATCTTTAGGTATGATCCATCCACTGGAATCTACGGTATGGACTTTTACGTCGTTCTTGAGCGTCCCGGTTACCGTGTGGCACGTCGCAGAAGGTGTAAGGCTCGTGTTGGGATCCAGCATAGAGTGACCAAAGACGATGCCATGAAATGGTTCCAGGTCAAGTACGAAGGAGTCATTCTCAACAAGTCTCAGAACATTACTGGTTAAACAAGAAAGATCTATTTATAATCTTCTTTTTTTCTTCCTGCTCGGATCCGTATTCTCTCAGTTTTGTTTTTGCTCGTCTGTTCTCAAGACATTTGAATTTTCTTCATAAGATATTGCGCCTATCTATATTACAATGATTGTCATCAACAAATGTAAGCTGAGATAAAACACATTTTAGGATTTTAAAATCTCTCTTGGAAACTTGAATTGTTTAGATCTATGAATGTTTATTACTCCGACAGGAATTAGGTAATAACTAATAACCTTCTTTAAATCTAATGAAGTCAACCCTAAACCATGTTTTACGACTGGATTTAAGCTTATCCTGCATCCCTGATCCAACTTGTTATATTTCTTAACTCATAAAATTACGTGAAAATTATTGAACAAACACGAAAATGCATTTTTACATTGTTTTCTTAAAGAATCTTTGACTACGCGTCTATATGTATATATTTAATATTTAGAAGACGTCTCGATTATAAATTACCTTGTACTTGTACATCACCACTATAATATTAACAACACCAAAAACATTATCCAATCATGTTTCATTGTCAATTCTCATTGCATCAGATTCGAGCGAATTATTGATTGGCTCGACATTACCTATCACGAACAAAAATGACCAAATCAAACATATGTGTGTGTGTGTGTGTGTGTGTGTATAAACACGCTTTGCATATATAAACTAATCAAAAACCTATACAACCAGAAAATAAAACTTTTGGATTTCACCAAAAAAAAAGAAATAAAACTTTTGGCTGCATCTGACATAAGTTGGAGACAATAATGGAGTAAATAAACAAATAATTATGACACAGGCATTTATAGTTTTATGATTATCTATGTTTATGATTTACAATTTAATACTATGACTAAAGGAATCTTGACTTGATCCCACACAGATTTATAATCAGCCATTTCCAGCCCAAATTTATGTACACATTTATAAAAATATTAAGTCACTTTTCTAGACTCTAGGTTTCGTATATATGTGTTTTTTTTTTCTTCTTTTTATCACTTCTCTCTATTTAGCCAAATTCCTCCACAAACATCATGAAATGTGTTAATCTTAAACAAGATCTATTTGTAACACATAAAGGGCCCGTGTCACTCTCAACAAACTTTTTGGTTAAGATCCCATAACCTCTTTTCGTTGGATGGTACAAGCCAAAACATAAAAGCAATCAAATTCTTTTTCCTTTGATTAATAAAGCAAACAAATTATTGCATGGATGGTAGTGATCTAAATTCGTTGTTTTCCTGAGGTTCGTGGTTTTAATTTACTTGATTGAAATTAATTGATATGTTTTTATACACTAATGTTGGTCTTTTCACCTTTTATATAGGATACTTTCGTTTATACTTATTTGAGTTTACTAATTGCTACCTATAAATACAAGCTAGTATGTATATATATACCCAAGAAAGTATTTGTATATACAAAATAATGGAATATTATGCCAAGTTCTCAACATGATGCATTTTTGGGAGATTGAAATGGACCAGATCAACTCACACATAGTTTCAGGAGTCAGAAATGGAATAAGCGGATTCACTAGACAGCTTAAGATCTCACGTTTGAATTGGTAGTTTCACCTTAATCTAATTCATTACAACCTTAATCCTTGATTCGGAGATCGTTTAATCAATTAGAGTTAGATGGATTGTGATGAGCGTAATTCTGAATATCTCAAAATCGAGAATGTGTGTGCATATTTTTATTTTTTAATACGTGGACAGCCAAAAATAAAAGATCACAGTCTATATTAGATCAGATGGGGATAATTAAATTATTTCTTTGCATAAGTATGCATGGACTTAATCAAAATGTCCAGCTAATTAAAGAAATAATTTGATTAGCATTATGGGGCAATAATAAAATAAAATTTCCACGAGAGAACCTTTCAAAATAAATAAACTAACGACTACAAAACAACTAGTCATATTTTATTCAAATAAAATACCAATACCAAATATAATAACGATATAATCCCTTTGATATTTGCCTGCACGTCCCAAAAACAAGTAGAGAATAATAATCACATTCAGATTGATTAAAACCCTCTCACTAATCACCTTCTTAATCAGCCCCAACAGAACAAAAAACATAAATCCGCTCTCTGTTCCGGCGAATTGAACGGTCGAGATTAATCATGCACCGTAGAGCAATTCAGGAATCGGACGACGAAGAGGATGAGACATACAACGACGTCGTTCCTGAATCTCCTTCTTCTTGTGAAGATTCGAAGATCTCAAAACCAACACCTAAGAAAAGGTTTTGTCAAATTTTCACTATTTGCTTACAAATTTGTAAACAAATTTCTTAAAATTAATGATCTGAAAATGAAATAATTGTTCAGTCGGAGGAGCGTAGAGAAGAGAGTTGTCTCCGTTCCGATTGCTGACGTAGAAGGATCTAAGAGTAGAAGCGAGGTATATCCACCGTCCGATTCCTGGGCCTGGAGAAAGTACGGACAAAAACCGATCAAAGGCTCGCCTTATCCCAGGTATGCTAAATTACCTTTTTATCCTTTTTGTCGTGTTAATCAGCGGCGGCTCAAAATCCTAAAGGAGAGCGCGTAAGTTAGCCTTGACGGTGGTTGGGCTAACATACGCACCTCGTTGAGCTTTTCATAAAAAACAGACGCGTCTGATATCGCGTGATTTCACGCGCCAGCTCCTTCATTCTTGGGGGTGTTTTTTAAATGCTGTAATTTTGTTTATGGATGAATTAAATGGGTCATTATTTGAATTATCCAAAAGTTTTGCTTTGCTTTGGTAATAATAATAACATCGGGGAAGATGAAATATTAAAGTAGCTGTAGATCTTGATTCTAATCAAGACAAACCCATAAAGGATAATGCGCACAAAAAGGAAGAGTATTTTACATTTTATGTACGTGGATAACGTGCCAATATTATAATTTTTTAACTTTTCTTTATTTTTTTTTGTGGGGTGAGTTTTGTGGAAAATATTCATTTCATTGCATTTCTTGTAAAAAATATTATCAAAATTAAACCAACTATTTATGTGTTATTTTAATTATGTTTTAAATGTTAAATGTGATAATATTCGTCACTACTTAACCAGTGTGGTTATGTATTATCCATGAAAAATGCTTTTTTTTTTAATTTTAATTATGCTACAAAGTAAAGTTAATCGCTTTTTTGGTGAATGTCTCTCAGGGGATATTACAGATGCAGTAGCTCAAAAGGATGTCCGGCGAGGAAGCAGGTAGAGAGGAGCCGTGTGGACCCCTCAAAGCTCATGATAACTTACGCCTGCGATCACAACCACCCTTTTCCCTCCTCCGGCAACAACAAGTCGCACCACCACCGAACCAGCACCGTCATCCTCAAAACCGCCAAGAAAGAGGAGATTCTAGAAGAAGACGAGGAGGATGAAGCAACCGTCGCCGCCGAGGAGCCGGTGGGACTAGATCTGAGCCACGTCGACTCGCCGCTGCTCTTAGGTGGCTGCTACACCGAAATCGGCGAGTTCGGGTGGTTCTACGACGCGTCGATCTCATCGTCGTCCGGTTCGTCGTCGATCTACGGTGGGAGTTTCCTCGATGTTACCTTAGAAAGGGGTTTTTCAGCAGGCGAAGAGGAAGATGAGTCTCTGTTTGGCGATCTCGGCGATTTGCCTGATTGCGCTTCCGTGTTCCGCCGTGAGACGGTGGCGACGGAGGAGCAACATCGGAGATGCGATTTTGGCGCCATTCCCTTCTGTGATAGTTCTAGATGAGAGTGTGTAGCCAAAACCAAAAAAAAGGAAAAAAACAATTTTTTTTTTCACTGTAAAGGTGTATCAATGGTGAAATCATATGATTCATTTAAATTCCCAAACAATAAATTAATATCATTTGAGAGAATTTAAAGGTTTTTGAGTTAGTCAAAAGTACAACAATGATTGATACATAGTACTATGTTTCTACATGCGACGATGATACCCAAAAAGGAAAGTTTCCTCCATTGCTCTTACCACAGACATAAGCTGTAATGTGAAGAGATCGTTCGCAGTCATGTCCCCGGCGAGATTTGATGAGTCAACAGCCGGAGAAGAAGAATCTCGGTTTGCCGGCTTGAGTATGACGGATCTACAGAGAGGACACTGTCCTTTGCTCTTCAACCATGGAACTATACAATCCTCGTGAAACATGTGTTTGCAAGGAGTGAGCATCACTGTTTCCTTGGGCTCAAAGTCTTCTAAACACACACTGCATCTCTTCTCTTCTTCTTCTTCACCACCGGAGAGATCTCGATTGTTTCTTGAATTTTCGCTTCCTGTGGTTTTGTTTCTGTAGTATAAGCTTAGGTTTCTGAGAAGCAGGCTTTTGGGGAGCGGGTTATATGTTTCCTTTGTTAGGTGTTTCAGAACATGGTCTTCTTCTCTGGCTTGTGATGATGCTGATGTTGAGTTGTTCTCAGGTCTAGCCGGTTGGTTGTGAACGGCTTGCCTTAGTGCCTCGAGTTGCTGCCTCCGCCGGTTGTTGCCGGTACGGATCCGAGTATGTGAATCTCTGCCAAGAGCAACGGTTTTCAAGTTCTTGAAGAGCAAGCAAACTAAACTTTTTCAAACAAAATAAAAAAGCAGGAATAGTCAAGTACATGAATGATGAAATCTCTGTTCTTGAGTAAGCGGCTGAAGGATCATCATCGAGCAAACGCCTGTTAACTAACTGAGACTGAAAGTGACACACCAAAACACCAAAACAAGAAGAAAAAACCCATTAAAGGAGGCTTTTAGAGATGTATGATGATCCAAGGAAAAGTCTAGTTACAGAATCAGTCCTGGACCAAGCGTTCCTTGGAGAGAAAGCAGGCACTCGCCAACCGGAGGATCGTGTACCCGAGTGATCATACCAATCAGATGGATTCGGAGCAGAAGGAGAATAGCCATTTCTGGAGTTGTGCATAGCTAAATGAATGGCTTTTTCTTGTCACAAAGGAGTCTCTTAACGACTGATATGGTTGTAATGCAGTTTATATTCTTTTCTCTTTGCTTTTAGTTATTCTTTCTCCACTTACATCTATTGATTCCCCTAAAGGCTGATCAGTTAAGCAAGGAATCTGACCTAGTCTGTGTGTGTGTAATGCCATTTCTTCCCTCAACGAATTAAGTAATCTTAAAGTTGATGTGATGTAGAGGGAGAATCAATACCATAATAGTCAACGCTTGGACCCAAACCTTGGATCAACTAAAGAATGCAAATGCAAAAACATTTGTGTAATGATCTCAGTTGCTTGGTCCGAAACAGGGAATTAAATGAATAATTAATCCATAACAGTGACAATCACAAAAGCTCTCGACGAAAACCACAGGAAAGCAAAAGAATCCAAGATGATACAATATTTTTCATCTACATACGAATCCAATTTATTTGAACAAACATGGAGAGTCTGATGAAGAGAGAGTAACAGAAAACACAGCAATCTCACAAAGGGTATAAATAGAGAGCCTCCACAAACCTCAGAAAATAATATCTGAATCCTTCTCTGCAGCACCACCAGCGAGCAAGCTACGAGCAGCGTTTATCGAAATCCCTCTCTGCATTGATATTCCTTCAAGAACCATTTCCTCAGCAAACGCCTTTGCGTTAGCCGCCTGTCTCTCCGTCTCCCTCCTCTTGTATCCCTGAATCTTCTTCAACCTGAAGAAATCCTCTCTCTCCAGCTCATCAAGCTCTCCCTTGATGTAGCTGATTGTGTTCTCAATCTTCGGCTTCACCACATTCTCCAGAGCATTCACCCTGCGATTCGTCGTCTTGATGGCTTCATCAAGCGTCAAGAAAGATGTCTGGAGAGAAGCAAGCTCCACCAGAACTTCAATGGCTTTCACATAAGCCACACGGCAAGCTTGCACCTGTTGACCACCTCTAGCTAAACCGGTTAAGTCATTCTTGGTCTCACCTTCAGAGAAATGATCAAACTTTGGAAGCTTCACACCAGCAATGTTCTCTTGCCTCGAACGAACTTTCAACGTAGCTTCTTTGACGTTCTCGAGGACGACGTGTTTGACGTTCTCGCCAGCGACGTATTTGACTTCGGTGAGGGCGAAAGAAGAAGTCTTCATCATATCTCCCATGGATTCTTTTGCTGTGACGATTTTCTTGAGAAGTGCCCTGAATTGAACAGTTAAGGCATCACTCTTCTTTTTGAGGAGAGCGTGGCCTCTTGTTGCTCCGACGAGACGGGCTTTCATTACCCCGAGCATCGTCACTGTGGGAACCACATTCAAACGCGCGGTTTGGCCAGACATTTTTCAGATAACTACTGCAAATGAAGGAGATTGAGATTAATTTTCCGCCATTTAAAACCACACAAACAACTTTTCAAAGACTCCTTTAGATTGGGAGACGAAAACAACCTTTAAACATGCTAAATGCTGGTTTACTAATCAGAATTGAAGCAAATTGCGAGAAAGCAAATAATCATTCTTAAGTTTCACTACGAAAATGAAAATCTTAGGCTAATCAACAAGCACTTCATCTCGAACGATCAATTCGTAGATCCAACAAAATTCCGATTATCGATTTACCAGAATGAATGAAAGTCTACGACTTTGGATCATTTTATCTAAATCGAACCAGCTACGATATATTTTCGAAATTCCTAACAGATGGCGGTTTAAAATCTATCATTTCCCAGATCCTCAGAAGATGAAATCTGGATCACAGAACACCTAACCATTTGGACTCAGGATTGATCAATCGAGTTTATGGATAGAACCCATTCAATTTCTCAGATTCAATTGTTTGTTTCTCGAGAAATCAAACTAGAGAGAAATGAGAGGAAAGAGTAAGATTTGGGATGGCATACCTGTGGCCTCTCGAGAGACTATAAGAGGCGACTTCCTTGCAAGTAAATCACTGAGATATGACAGAGGGAGAGAGAGAGATAGAGATGTTGGAGAAATTGAATTTTGTTTTTAAGAAGAGATCGAGAGCGATCGTATTCGACCTCGTCGCTGATCGTGGAGGAAAGAAAGATGGGGTTTGTTTTGTAATTAGCTGTAAACTTAGAGGGCTTATTTTGCTATTAAAATATACAGATCATTCATCGCTTATGGTGGGGCCTGCTTTCGTGTCTAAATCTGAACACTGAACCCACTGGGGCCCATCTTCTTAGTGCCACGCTGTCACGGACAAAAACTCAGGCAAACATAAAAATACATTTTAATTTCCGTTTCCTGGATTTAAATGAAGAAATACCGTGCAAATAAATCATTTCGATCTTCGAGAAGAAACGAAGAAGAAGAAGATCATTTCGAATATCCGCTCTTGTCAATTCTAAAAGATATGATTCGAGGCTCTTTAAGCACTTTCTCTTATCATAAATATTTGTCTTCCCCTAAAAACATTTATTCGATCATAGAATTTGAAACAGCAGACAAACAATAACAATAGCATGTATTGCAAGTGTTTAAATTATAAGAGAAAGAAAACAACACAGGACTGTTGAGAAGCCTCTTTTATTAAGCTAGAGGCATCCCGATGTTTTCTTCTTTATTGGTGTGTAGCAGAGAATGGGACTAAAGCGCAGATCCAGATAAACGCCTTCTTGATGCATTCGAAATGGAAACTTGACCCAACTTATCTGAATCCGAACTTGACAACGTTCTTTCTCTCACTGGCTCGTAATGCCTTAGCCACACTCCAGTGTAGGCCTGTGCAGCCACACAATACAATGAACCATGAGCCAACCCAAACCAATAAACCTTTTTCATCAATCAAACAAGTGTAAGCAGCTTTTGCATTTACCTGTTGGGGTCTCATGATCTTAGTGTCAGGATCATCTAACGACTCACGCCAGTGTGACAAGTATCCAGCCATGCGCGGGACTGCGAATAGGACTGTGAAGAACTCTGGTGGGAATCCCATTGCCCTGTGTTTTTTACCCATTTCAGTTACCAACACCACAAGATTCAGGTTAAGAACTTCATAGCTACATGATGTTTTACAGATGACTCATCGATGTCTTATCTTACCTATAGATCAATCCAGAGTAGAAATCAACGTTTGGGTAAAGCTTCCTCTTCACAAAATATTCATCGGTTAGTGCCGCCTTCTCTAGAGCAACTGCCACCTGTAAAACATCATACACACCAAATATTTCTTAAACCAAATTCATAAAAGAAGGAATTTGACAAATCATATAGTAAGAATTCTAAAGTACCTCAATGAGAGGGTCTCTTCCAACAATGGAGAACACTTCATCCGCCAGTTTCTTTATGACTTTCGCTCTTGGGTCGTAGTTTTTGTAAACACGGTGTCCAAAACCTGACATCTTCCTCTTTCTGAGAACAAAGAAAAGGGATATAAATTTGGAGGCATGACTCATCACAGTTTAGCTAGTTTTGTGCTATTGAGTTACCTGTTCTTCACGCCTTCAATGAAATCTGGAATATTTTCAACAGATCCGATCTCTGACAACATCTTAAGGACAGCCTCATTCGCACCACCATGAAGTGGACCGTACAGCGCTCCAACAGCTCCAGCAACAGCGGTGTACACATCAACACCACTGCAGAAACACGATAATAATTTAAACAATACCTCAGAACAGACTCAATGAATCTCAAACCAGTGAGATACGTACCTAGAGGCAAGATGCCGAGCAGCAGCAGTAGAGCAGTTCATTTCATGTTCAGCATGCAGTATGAAGAGGATGTCCAGTACTCGAGCCAGACGAGGATTAGGCTTGTAAGACCTATTGCCCCTGTAATCGATGGAAAAATGAAAGAATACATCCTGTTACAATCACGTTAACTACCCTCTAAAAGTGCCTAAATCAAGAGGGAAGATAGATGGTGGCGTACATTGAATCAAGCATGTAAAGGAAATTCTCTGCATAAGAAAGGTTGCCAGAAGGAAGAACAGGAGGCCTGCCTGCCATCCTCAAATAAGCAGCCGCTGCAATTGTTGGAGCCTGCAAACACTTTATATTATAACCTTTTTCCAGTCTGGTTATGCATTTAAGGCAGCAAATCAACAGACACAACAATACCTTTCCAATAATTCGAACAATCTGTTTATCACGAACTTGTTTGGACTTGTATATATCTTGGCCCTGCAACCAACCCAGTGAAATTTCCGTGAAATCAAGAACACAAACAAATGAAGTATAGCGCATGGACGTGGAAATTTCAGAAAAAGAGACATCTTAACAGTACATAAAGAGAAGAGAAATTATAGAACTTACCCTAAGAGCAGGATTAGCATCAGGATGAAAGATGGAAAGTGCACTCATTGCACTCACAAGAACACCCATTGGGTGTGCATCATGAGGCATGGACTGTATGATATCCTGCCAAAACATTCAGAAATAATCTCAGGTCGAAGATGGTACTAAAATCGTCATCAAGATTATATACACTAGTACGGAAATACATAAAGAGGAAAGAGTAGAAATCTACCAATACTCCTTGTGGCACAGCTGAATGCTGAGAAATTGTAAACTCCCAATCAGCTAGCTGACTCTGAGAAGGCAGATTCCCATACACTGCCACAGAAGAAAAAAATTGTTTATTTTTCCACAAACTAGAACACCCAAAGATGATAAATTTCTATCCAATATTTGCTATGATCAAACATTTGCTTCCAAGAGGAAAACAAGCAATATCGATCAGAAGCTACAAGATGATGAAGACTTACAGAGGAGATAAGAAACCTCAATGAAAGTGCTGCTCTCAGCCAACTGTTCGATTGGGTATCCCCGATAACGTAGGATCCCTTCATCTCCATCGATGTAAGAAATCGACGATCGAACAGGAGCCGTATTCAAGTAACCCGGATCGTATAATTTAAGCCCTTTGTCCTCCTTCCCCGTCGTTATCTGCACAACAAACATGTAAATCCATCTCTAAGCTAATCACAATCTCCAACAAATAATCAATTAGATCAACTGCTTGTCAAGCTCAATTTCACAATTCCGTTCAGGGTCACAGCTCGTTACATACCTTCTTAAGATCAACGGATTTAACGGTGCCATCTTCTGAGACTGGAACCTGATATTTCTTCCCCGTACGCTCATCGACGATCGTCAAGCTTCCCTTAAGCGGTCCATGCGGTGCAGCACTCGATGTGCACCATGGCTCGATCGCCGGCGACACCTGTTCCAATCCGACGGGATCAGACACCGCCAAATGCGCAGAGAGAATAGCCAATCGAGCTTTCACTCTCCCCGAAATCTCCATTTTTTTCACCTCAAAAACTAAAAAAAATAATTTATCAGAATTCAATCGTAGGAAAGAAGCGAAGAGCGGAAGAAGAAAACAATCTCTGTTGAGTAAGTACAAATTATATCCTGAAAGTCCAATTTTGTAGCAATTTGAGTTTCTATTCTCTGCAGGTTGGAGTATTCAAATTGGATCCGGACTATCCGAATATCAACGGTGATGAGATGATGATTGAGCTTGTATCGACGGATAGGATCCTTCTTAAAATCTAAATGGAAATTCCAAAGAGGCTTATCTGTCAGTTTTATCCTGGGAGTTTACTTCCTTATTTAACCCACTTAAACGCGGCAGGACGGTGAAGACGACTCGCTCTAAGGAAGAGACACGTGTCAAGTAACAGACTCGAGTGACTTTCAGACGCTATGTGGATCGAGTAGAAGTCGCTTGATTTATTGGACCTATTCCATAATGGGCCGATTTATTGGACTCCAATCGAAATGTTATAGGTTGGCCCATTAGCTCTTTATGTCTCGCTAACGAACGAAAGAATACGACTAGGCGTTTAAAACGTTAGTTCCCACTTTGGCGTTTAAAACGTTTTCAAACCTTACAGTTAGCACAATGATTTGTAAACGAATAAGGTTTTACCATACTTACAAACGGGTTTCTAAACGGGTTTTACCATACTTACAAACGGGTTTTACCATAATTTCTAAACCTCCTAAATAAATGTTTACACAATACATTTGTTGATTATGTTTGTTGTTCGTCTTCGTAGCTGTTTTGTTAATAAATGTTATTGGTTCAAATAATTGTTTCAAAATATCTTCAAAACTTTAAGTGCTTATATAATTTCGCTTCGCTAATCATTAAAGCATTTGAATCCTCTAATCACACTTTTGTATTTTTGTAGCTTTTTCTTTTTTGACAACTGCTCATTTGTAGTCTTGTGACATTTGTTTGCACTAGTCTTATTTTGTGAACGAAGGCTTAACTAGTCATAGATTCAGCCTGTTCTGTTTTTCTCCTGTTAAATTGTGAATCCAAGGAATTAATTAGATTTTAATAAAGATAGCAATTATTATGTAAAAGAGTGTCAAATACTATATCACTTTGTAGTTTGTAGTAATTTGTAAAAGGACATCTTTATTTTGGTGAGACAGATAGTTTAATTAAAAAAACAGAGTATACATTTTTGAAAAGAATGAGTAGGAAACGAGAATAATACTTCACCCGCATTAAGAGGCAATACCATAAAGTCTGCAATTGGTTGGGCTTTATTTACTTTTCTGTTGCAGCTAATTTTGCCTACTCAAAAGCACCAAGTCCTCTCTGTCGAACATGACGATTATGCCGAAATCGCCGGCGAGATTCAAGCTAGGGAGGCAGTCTTCGTTAGCGCCGGATTCGAGAACCCCGGCAGAGACGGTGACGGAAGATGAGGACGAGGAGTTGGCGGCGGCGGCGGCGGCTGGGATCGTGGATCCGACGATTCGTCTAATGTATCTAGCCAACGAAGGTGATATCGATGGGATCAACAAGATGTTGGATTCGGGAACTAATATCGATTACCGTGACATCGACGGTCGTACTGCTCTCCACGTCGCCGCTTGTCAGGGACGAACCGATGTTGTTCAGCTGCTGCTTAGCCGTGGTGCTAAGGTTAATTCTATGGACCGATGGGGTAGTACGGTACGGATTCAAACTCTCTCTAGGCTGAAATTTATCTGTTTTGGTTTGATTTGACTTCTCATAGACTCATAGCTCGCTTTGTGTTCGACGAATTGCCAAACAAGTTTATATTTTTAGCAATCCCCAAACTTTCTGCTGTATCGGATTTTAGTTGAGCGGCTCAGATTTAGCTTTAAGAATTTTCAGGTGCAATAATAGTAACGATGGTAACAATTCGTGATTGATCTTAACAGCCTCTTGCAGATGCAGTGTATTACAAAAATCATGATGTGATCAAACTTTTGGAGGATCATGGTGCAAAGCCGACGGTATGTGTTACCCCTTACTCCGTGGATGGATGTTATAGTTTTTTTTTAATGTGATGATTAACTGCTTTTGTAATCGTTTGTGATTTTAGACCGCTCCTATGCATGTCCTAACCGATAGAGAAGTTCCTGAGTATGAGATCCATCCTACAGAGCTTGATTTTTCTAACTCTGCCATAATTTCAAAGGTAAGTATTTCCATTTCCCAAACTTATTAGGCTTTTTTTCAACAACTACTAACAAGTTTTCTAGTTGGTGTATTCACACTTGTCATTACTGTCTGTGTGCTCGACAGGGTACCTTTCACAAGGCTTCATGGCGTGGAATTGATGTGGCTGTTAAAACCTTTGGAGAGGAAATGTTCTCTGATGAAGACAAATTGTGGGTTGACTCCACATATCTCTTTTGTATCATTGAACTAGTTCTGCGTTAAAGGTTTTAATGTCCTTCTGGTATCCAGGAATGCGTTCAGGGACGAACTTGCGTTGCTTCAAAAGATACGCCATCCAAATGTTGTCCAGTTTTTAGGAGCAGTTACTCAAAGTAACCCCATGATGATTGTCACAGAATATTTACCTAAGGTATTCTTTCTCAATCAGGATGTAGAAACTACCAATGATCATTTTTGTTTTCAAGATCCCTCATGAACATTAACAGTTGAGTTATCCTATAAATAAAATATTGGGTTGATAAGATCTCAAGTAGCTTACAAAATAAAATGAAAACATTTTGAGCAAGTCCTTTTGAGACTCAACAACAATTTTCTGTGTTTACCAAAGTTTGATGCTACTTCGACAGTTGGTTATGACATGAAGGATGGGTTTTGATGTTTGTTTTGAAGTTGTGATCTTCACATTCACAAAATGCTCAAGAGCAACTTCGCTGCATAAAGTCATGCTTTTCACTTTTGAATTATTTTGTGTTTATTTGTAGGGAGATTTTCGACAATATCTAGACAGGAAAGGGGCTCTAATGCCAGCGCAAGCAGTGAAGTTCGCACTTGAAATTGCTAGGTGAAGTGGCTATTGTCTGTGTATTTTTTACTTTGTAGTTGTGCAGGCTCTTATTGACGAATGACCGGTTGCAGTAAACATTAATCTCCATTCTGTGGTTTCTGATTGATCTGTATAATATTCCTTTAAACTGTTTTGCAGGGGAATGAATTATTTGCACGAGCATAAACCTGAAGCTATAATCCATTGTGACCTAGAGCCTCCGTAAGTTTTCCCTCTTGGTTGTATCAGTATAAATAATATCATTACAAAATGTTTATCATTATACATTTATACTATGTTGCATATCCGAAAGATTCTTATTTGCCAAAGTAAGAGAACAGAAACATACTGCGGGATGATTCGGGACATCTGAAAGTTGCAGACTTTGGAGTCAGCAAGCAGCTGGTAGTTAAGAAGACAATTAAAAAAGACAAGCCTGTTACATCATTGGACAGTTCTTGTAAGTTTTCTTATCTGAGAACTTAAAATTGATATCTCGAGTTGTGTCTTGAGCTAGTTTAAAACTGCTAAGCTTTACTGTTTGGTTGTCTAATACTAAAAGACCACAAAACTTAATGAGGAACTAAATCATAAAGGTTGTGTGTTTGGGATGGGTTTATGCTGATGATACTCTCGTATCCGTTCTGGCTAAGCAGGGCGCTACATGGCTCCAGAAGTTTACAGGAATGAAGAGTATGACACGAAAGTAGATGTGTTTTCTTTCGCTTTGATCTTACAAGAGGTGAAGTAACCGAGAGAGCTACGAGATTTCTTAATTTTGTTATACTTATAAGACCAAAAGTCTTCAGGCTTAGATACTTATGCAATGTTGTTTGTGGGTTAATAAACTTAACAGATGATAGAAGGCTGTGTACCTTTTCATCTGAAAGAAGAAAGCGAAGTTCCTAAAGCATATATTGAAGACGAACGTCCACCATTCAATGCTCCAATAAAATCATATCCTTTCGGGTTACGAGAGTAAGTTTTTCGGATTAATTATGCTCTTGTTTTTGAAACAACACTCGTGGCTCCACTATAAAAGTCTAACGATCTCTCTGTTGCCAGATTAATACAGGATTGCTGGGACAAAGAAGCATCAAGAAGACCAACATTCAGAGAAATCATCACTGCGTTGGAGAGGATAAGTGATCGTATTGCACGGAAACTGAGCTGGAAGGTGAAACTAAGAAAGTGCCTTCCAAGATTCAGGTTGTTTACGAAGAGAGATTATGTGAATCCCAGTAGTAGCCGTTCATCCATCACCAGGTGACCTCCAAGAGCTTTTGGTTTATTTATTTAAATTGTAATGAAAGAGGGATTGGTTTTGCCTCAAATGGAGGGAAACATTGTCATTTTTATAGCTCTTTGTATTTACTGCAACGTGATTGTTTTTCTTTACCCCTGAATGAACATGGTGTGTAACTGTGTATTATATATTATGCTGCGGAGTAATAAAATAGTTAGTTATTCATGAGTTAAAAGGAAAAAGAGTGTGCAGGAGTGTTGTAACTTGTAGATATTAGATCAGGTCAAATCGAATCAGCCTATTATTTTTATTTTTTTTATATCCGCTCAGTCTCAAGTCAAATCTAACCTGTAGATCTTGAGTAAAGTAGATACTAAGCTTCTGACAACTTTACCATCACAAAATTAAGAATTAAATGTTTACAGTGATAAAGAACGTCGTAGTTGGTAACAGACTGAAATAACTCTGCCTCTGCGCTTCGGTTCCGTTGCCGTCTCTCCACTGTTGCTTTCAGCTCCATAAATTTCCTTTCAAAAAAGTCTTAGTAAAAGATAAAAATGTCAAAGCGCCGTTAGAGAGAGACTCTCCGAGCGGGAAACTGTGAAACCCCCTCCTTTTCTCTCTCTCTCTCTCTCTCTCATCTCCTCCGTCGTTACCGACTCGTCCGTCCCCTTCGTATGATCAATGGCGGTTGATTGCGAAGGATTTTCCATCAGGTGAGTGCTGGAATTTGTTTTTACTGCTTTGATTTTGGGTTATGATTTTGAAATTTGTTTGAAATGGCAAATCGTAGAGAGTACACGCGCAACATAAGAAGTGTTGAGGTGCGTAAATGCTGGCCCTTCTCCGGAGATGTCACCGGAGAACTTATTCAGTCCCTTCTTCCTCCGATAACCGTCGTCAAGTTCCGGTGGTGGTCTCATGAGCTAGCCTCTCTGCTAACAAAATCTCCGGATGGTTCCGATCCGGCCTTTCGACGAAAGGCGAAGTCTAACAAGCGCTCCGTCGTTGAGTTAGCACGCAGAGAAGACGAGAGAGACGATTCCGAGGTCTTAATCGATTCAAAGCGAAAGAAATCGAAAGATACCTTCGATGCGAAAACTGCAAACAAGGTAGTGTAGTCTTATGTTGGCTTTGTTAGTGAAGCTCATTAGCATTGTGAAGTAGTCGTGTAAACTAACACTCGTGAGGTGGTATCACACATTGCACTCAGGTTAATAATTGCAAAGAAGATGCTCGAGAAAATGCTGATGATGGGAAATGCAGTATTGGGACTCAAGGAAGATCTGGTGTGATGTCTCTTAACAGGAAGAAGGCTGGAGTGAGATGCTTATCTTACACAGAGGAGGATTTGTTTCCGGATTCTCCAAAATCAGTCAGTCAGGATTGGGATTCTGAGTTCAAGATTCCTGGAAATTTGAAAGTTTGCTCGGTGAGGAGTCCTGATAAGTCGAAAAGTTATGCTTCTCAGAGTGAGAAACATGTCAGATTCTCTGATAATAATGGAATACTTTCCCATCTGGAGAAGAATGGATTCTCTGTAGAGCAATGCTGCTTGAATATGAGTAAGTTAAGTCTCTTTGCTGCGGAGGATCAATCATCTGTAGGTGACAAGAAAATGGTGGTCGTATCAAATGGCAATATGCAGTTTCAGTCTGCGGTTTCAGAGAGACGGTTAAGTCATGCTCGAGGGAATTCTAGCTTGTCGTGTTTTGCTGGACCACATCTCTCACAGGAAAGAATTAAGGATGCATTGGATTTGGAGAGAAAGAGACATGTGGATCAACCTGTTCAACCATTCATCTCTGATTTGAGTGAGAGTCTGTACAGAAGTTGTTCTTCCTCGTTTCAACATACATCAGCTGATATGCATTGCAGGACATTGCTGTACCAATCCCCTTTTGATCCATTTCAAGTGGAAAGGATACAAAGACATGTAGAAGCAGATGCGATCCCGGGGTTTACTCTCAATGTACAAGGTGAGCTAGTCGAAGCAAATGGTGAAGGCTGTAGAAGTTTAGGTACTGGTTGCTCTATATCTGCATCTGCTGAAAATGATCTTTTACTCAAGAACTCAGTGGACTTTTCCAGTGGGAAGAAGCATTCAACAGATCCAGCAATTACCAAAGATGGTGGCAAGATCCCAGTGCATAATGAGAGACGCCTTAAGTACTTTCCAGCTAGGCTAGGCATTGATGAGATCTTCACCGAGGATGGAGAGTGCGGTCAAACTGTCCACTCCCCGGTTCCCCAAGTCAACCCGACGAGCCACACACTCAATCTGCATCAAAACGTTACTAGCAGAGATATGGTTGCAGATAGTGATGGTTTGTGTTTACATAACACTCAAGCAACAATGCGGCTGATGGGTAAGGATGTTTCTGTTGGCACAAGTTACTCAGATTTGCTTAGAGCTGGCCAGAGGATCATAGCACCAGATGCTTCTGTAGATTGTCCCTTTTTGGAGAGCCATACTCAACAGAGCTGGCTATGGCCAAGGACAACACTTGGGATTTCAGAAAACCATTCAGCTGCATCATTGGACAAGAATTGGAGCAGAAATTTGTTGTGTGATCCTTCAAAGGATCCTTATCCTTTGTTTTGGGAACCAAGTGTGTGCTTGGCTCCGGAAGCCAGAACAGAGTTTCCTCCCACATTCTTGTATCCATGTGGTTCACACGTGCCTTGTCCATTGACTGATAAGGATCTCAGCTTCCATGGGTATGGTTCAGGGCAGCAACTAAACAGTTTCACATTCAGCCACCAACAACTACTACCTTTTCAATCTCATCCGGAGATTCCTTGTGATTACAACAATGTCGGTATTGGTCACTTACCTGATGCTAGAAAACCATCTTTCGGATTACCTTTCTCTTGCACAGATTCTACTAGACAGCCACAGCCTCATTATTGGCCACAGAGTTCCTTTGAGAGCAGCTCGCGTTTGGGAATGCCTTGCATCACCAATCCCGCAGAGCAACTAGTTTCCTTGTATGAGTCCAGGTCATCTTCTTCTTCTTCTTACATAAACGTTGGAAAAGCAAATAAGCGGCTAGCATCTGTAGAGGAATATCCACTGAAGAAACAGAAAATCCCCAAGTTTCCAATGCAAGGTGGCTTCAACTCTGAGAAAGAGTCCTTTGGAGGCCAGCAAATTAGGAAAGCACAAATCTATAAGTCTTAAAGAGGTAACTAAAGTCAAATGTTTGTATAACTGTGATGGCTTGTGTGTTTTATAACCTAGATCGAAATCAGATGTCCATAATCTATTTTAGAGCTAATTCTTTCCAAAATTTTATGGAATGATATGATTCTCCTGAAAAAGGTCAAAGGTAAAAATTGTTCCTTTTTTCTTTTGTCAACGTTTACATTCATAGTTTCTGCAGTTATATTATTATTCTCTCTTGGTCACAGCGGAGTGTACATATTGTCACTGTGAATCTCTTCTTCATTGAAATCTCCTTTGATCTTTTTCAGTCTCCTTTGATTCTCTTTCACTGCTGATCTGGTTTTATTTTCCAATTCATTTCTTTTTGTTTTTTTTAAATAAAATATTAATCATAATAAATAAAAATTATATGCAATAACTAATTAGTTCCAAGGAAAGTGATGGAGGTATGGAGCAAAAAGGAGTTACCAAATGTAAACAAGTATTTTTAATGTGAACTGTGAAATGGTTTGTTGATGATTATGAGTTTATGACTATACGTATGATTAGTCACTATTTGCTGGATTCCTTAATTTCTTGTTCCCTCGTTAATTTGTCGTCTCATCATTTCTTTTTTTATTATTATTATTTTTTCATTTCTGTATGACTATATCCCTCCCAAATATAACCAAAAAAGGTTCGACTATGTTTACTCTGTCTCTCAATTGGACTAGTGAGATCTGCTTCTTTCTTTTTTTTGAGAAACGGGTGACTAGTGAGAACTGCCACAAAGAAAAGAGGGAATATGTTAGATTAATAAAATCGATTCAGGCAATGCAACATAAATAATAGTTTGCCATTCATCGTCTAGAATTTGGACTCTTTAAAGATGGGTTTCAACATCAATGGTCGCATTTTTCTAGTCAGCGTATTAATTTCAAGTTCTCAAACAAATTTGATGATTAACTAGTGGATATCTTATTCACACGTTTAGCTTCTTATTGACAAGAAGCAAAAGCTCATAATATCTCGAATTAATATGGATAAGCTCATATATAATCTAGATTCAATGGATCTTTGTATATGGACAGAACATACACTAGTCAAAACTAGATATGTATTTTAGTAGATATAGTTTTCTTTTGCATGCACGATAAGTTCAACAACATCCAAAATATAGTAATATACTAATTGTAAAATTCTTTGGTTCGACAGCAACATAATTTTCTTTAAACGTGTAAATATCATAAATACATATGTTTTGTGATTCTATACATAAATGAAGGTCTTCTTAAGCATGTAAATAGCGCCCATTCACACATGATTTAATCATAAATTGAACTTTTTTTAAGAAGTGTACTGTATGTCCAAAAAAATGTTAGGATTTTAATTTCAAATCCAGCTACATAAAACAATGGGTTTACCCAGACAAATGAAAACACGTTTTTTTTTACCAAAGGCTTAAAGAAAAACACACGTTTTTGCCGCCACTTATTTCATAATATGTCTAATAGGTTATGTTCTACAACTCAACAAGTATTAAACTGTGAGACATTTGTTTTTCTTTGATTAAAAGATTATTCAAGATGTTGAACACGTTTTTGACTGCTATCCTCAACAACTTTGAATCATGATCGATGTCTAGATTCTCCGGATTTAACATTTTTTTTCCATCATAGTTATTGTAACACGAGGGCCCACGCAAAAGAAAAGACTCGTATGATGTTCTTGGTCTGGAGTTTTCGGCATAACAATGCAATTAAAAAGAGGTAGGTGCAACCGTGCAAGATTAAAAACGAAAATGTTTTAAAGAGGCTAAAATAGAAGAAAGAGAAAATATGAAGGACTAAAGAACAATAAAGAACTTATCATCGCCTATTTCCCATAAAGGATTCAGGTACTAGGAGAAGTTGAGGCCGATTTCACATGCATGTCTCTTTCACCATATATCCATATTTCACCGCACCTACATCTCTATATGTACATTCTTGTCATCGACTTTTTCATGAATACTTTTGAATTTTAATTTATTGTTTTCGCAAATTTAAGATTGTCATCTTTATGTCCTCGAGGTTTAATTATCAAATACGTATGCATGTCTCTATGAATTATATGTTACGATCAAAGATTGATATTTTCATAAGTTTTTATTTCTAACCCATTAGTTCAAATTAAGGATCGCAATGTCTTAACCTTTGAGTTTTTTCAGACGATGTTCCAAATCAAAGATTTCCTGACATCATACATAAGCTTAATTTACATTCTTTGCAGAAGAGAGTTCACTGATTTAACTCTTGAACATTATAAGTAGTCATCAAAAACATCTTCACCTTAAAAAGGAAACATCAGATTTAGCAAAAAATGAGTACTCAAGATAACACTAGTAAGTGGTACCATGTCTGGTAGAATGTATATTTCAGTTTTATGATCTGTTCAGATTTCATTTTATGAAAAATGTCGCAAAATAAAAACTAAACCTAAAACTATAAAAATACAAGTAAGATTTAAACATATACTTTTTGCTATAGTTTTTTTTTTTAACCGATCAGTTTATCTACAATTCGGTGTCAATGAACGTTTGGTGTGATTAGGTGAGGTTCAGAAAACTCATTCTAGAGTTTGGTATAAAACTAGATGGTTAGAATATAAACACAGGTAAGCTAGATAGAGAGGAGCATCTAATTAATGGGGAGATGCAGAAGGGTAAAAAAGGAAGAAAGAAAAGGTAGCAAGATTACCAAAAATGAGGAGTTTCCAAAAGATGGTTCTGATGAGAAACAGAGCCCATCCCTCTCCTTTTTCCTCTTCTCATGAAAGAAATTGGATGGTCCTCCTTCAATGTCCTCAACCTACTCCTCTCTTTTTTCTTTCTTCTTCTTATTTCTATTGTTAATTAATTAGTTCCCTTCAATTTCAATTTCACTTTCCACTTCTGTAAAAAGAAAATACACATCTCACGTATGTAGATCATATAGATATCCATATCTATTTAGGGGTTTATATATTGCATGTATAGAGAATAAAAAAGTGTGAGTTTCTAGCCTTGTTGAGTATGTGCTTTTTGGACAATTGTTAGATCATTTGTCTATTTTTCTCCTTTTTTTCTTCTGTGTATAAATACATTTAAGCAAATAAAGAAAACTAGTAACCTTCTGTTTTCTGCAAGTAGGGTCTTGTTACCTTCAAAGAAATATTCCTTCAGAAGAAACTCATAAACCAAAACAGAAAATTACAAAAGAAGGAGAGATTTTTCGAGAACAACATAATTAGAAAAGCAGAAGCAGCAGTTAAGTGGTACTGAGATCAATAATATATAACAAAATATATATATAGTTTGTTATATTCTCTTCAAAAACAGTTTCTCATTACCCACTTATCCCTTTTGCGGATCTATTATACATAATAATTAATTCTTCAAACCACAGGTAAGGTTGTGAATTATTATGCAGTAGAATAATTACCCTAAAACTTATCAATATTTCTTTCTTTTTCAATTCGATCTGTGATTCTTGAGTTACAATATGCTTCTTGTTACTGTTTATCTACAAAAGAGTTTTGATACTATACAGTAGATTAACTAACCCTAAAACCCAAAGTTTTCTGATCAAAGTTTTTTTCCTTTTCAATTACAATCCCTGATTAAATCTTGAGTGACCAAATGATGGGTTTCTTTGTTATTCTTGATCTGCCAAGAAATTTGATCATCAAGCTTACCTCTCTCTCTCTCTCTCCTCTCTCTCCTGTTAGTGTTTTGATTCATTTGGTGATATTATAGGATCAATGGAGGAAGGTGGGAATAGTCATGACGCAGAGAGTAGCAAGAAGATAGGGAGAGGGAAGATAGAGATAAAGAGGATAGAGAACACAACAAATCGTCAAGTAACTTTCTGCAAACGACGTAATGGTCTTCTCAAGAAAGCTTATGAGCTCTCTGTCTTGTGTGATGCTGAAGTTGCCCTCGTTATCTTCTCCACTCGTGGCCGTCTCTATGAGTACGCCAACAACAGGTACGCTTCTCCTACACCTTCCTGATCTTGCTTTCATGATTTACTACAAAAACAAAAACAAAAATTAAAATGATGTGGAAGTGGAGATTTAATTTAGAGCCAAGATCAGTTTTTCGGGGTAATCACAATCTTGGATTTACTTTTTTGGGGGTATAATATCGCTATAGTGTGTATGTGTGTGTTTGTGTTTATGCAAATGAAGAAGATGAAAAAAGCTGTCTTCTCTTTTCAACTTCTGATGCATGTCAGCTTCTATAAGACACTTTAATTTTGACGACCCATCAAATTTATTGATTTAAATCATATTTAGGGTTTCATCGATAAAAAGGTCTGGTTCTGGACACGAACGGCATGTACGTATATGTATGTAGATGATCAAGACTTATGTAACCCTCTGTCGAGTGAAACTTGGGACAAAGCCTAATGATGAGTTGTCACTAGGGATACCTTTAATCATATAATATACCCCAAAAATAAAATAAAACGAATGAATTTTTTTAGTTATATTATTATGGAGTATAATCGATGATCTTGTATTAGTGTTCACGTTTAGAGTTTCAACTCTTTTCTTAAAAAAAATGAAAAACAGATGGTTTTACCAAACGATGGAAATTGGAATCAATAATCAAATGTAAAACCATCAAAAGAATTAATTTAGTAAGACATAGTCGACTTTTTATGATCTATCATCTATATATGTAGAATCATAGATGCTGCATTGATGTATTAATGAGAGGGAGATAACTCAGAGAAGTGTCGGAAATCAAGAGGGTACGAGCCAATGGGAATCTCTGGCATCCTGAGATCCATTTATTTGTTATAATAAAAAACAAATAGTTGCTACTGATCTTTAAAACATATCTTAATGACATTGAATCATATAATATGCATGAAAATTATTTTGATTCCTCCTCAAACCCTAATTAGCAATTCTGAAACCATAATATATATCTATCCTTACTTGAATTATTTGTTTTCACAGCCATTGTTTATTTATATGTAAATTACATTGAAAAAAGAATTGACTTA